CAGTGAAGGATCAAACAATTTCCTGAAAGTGGACGGGGTGTTATTACCGGTTTCGAAGTCTAGCGAATTTAATAAAAAATGACATGTTGCCGTTTTTTGGTCTATGTGGGAACACGTTTTGGGCTGAAACGAGAAGGCTATAGGTGCATATATAAAATAGGTATATAACTTGTCTGTTCTTGAATAGTACAGGGTATATTTCTTATGTGTCGTGTCACAATATTGTGTAGGTTTTAATTGTGTTATTTGTTTATTAGAAAATTAAAAAAAAAATGTAACAATGTCGGTTTAGAAAATTTAAAAACTCGGTGTCGATCTTAGTCCATTGTAATCTAAATCTGAAAAAACGTTAATAAAGTGTTAATTCTTATTGTGTGCAAAATATATATACAATTTTTTAATTGTAATCTTTTGTATCGTCGATCTTGCTAAATTTAATAGTCTATGCACCTGTTTCTGACTTCCCAGAGTCCTTTGCGAAAAGTGGAACTTTTTGTCACGTGACCAAACTTTCTTGGATACGACGACGCAAGCGCAGTAGAATGTATCCTCTAAATTAGTCTGGTTTCTTTGAACCGGATACTAATGTTAAGATAACAGATACGTTGAGGAACCATACGCGCAGACGTACGACGAAATTTTGTTCAAGTTCAATTTCACGCCTTTGCTTTCGTTTCAAACGTTTTTTTGGTCGCAAAAGTTCGAGACGGGTGGGTAAAAATACCTGCATGAAAATAAGAAGTAGGCCTAGCCTATTTCAAAATAGGCTAGTATGTATTTGAAAATATATGGACAGGCAATTAGCAATGTAGAAATTATCGGCTAGTTCAAATCTTTCAAATCCTTGTACTCTCTCTAGCATATTCTCAATTGATCATTTTGTTTTTGGGTGGGCGGGGGGGGGGGGGGGGGGCGACATTTGCCCACCCCACCCCCATTGACACCCCTGCAGACATCCATTTAGTCCGGGTGTCAAACCCCAATTTGGAGGTGGACCGTGAATTAGGCTCCGCACAAAATGTTTTTGCATTTTCTTGTCATTTGGACCTTGTATATTCCGACGGGTGCCACCTTGGCATCCTTGAGCATTTTTTTTAAAAACAATAATGCAAATCAGCTTCCGCCATAAGGAAAAATACAAGTTTTCTATATATCTCTACAGGATTTCGTCCAGGATTTCATCCAAACATATCAATCGAGGTGCCCAGACCATGTTTGGGGGTAAACAAAATCATTAAAGCCATTTTCAATGACTAATTTATGTATTTTATGCAAAATATGCAAATTAGCATCCGCCATTATCACAAATTTAACTTCAATCTATATCTCCGCAGGAATGTGTCCAATCGTGTCAAATGAGGTGTCTAAACCCACGTTCTTAGGGTCAACGAATGCATTAAAGCCATTTCTACAATGATTATGTATATATTTTATGCATATTAGGCATATTAGGCATCATAAAAAACTCACATTTTCATTGTCAAGACAGTCCCTGCATGAAAGAGGTTTCTTTCTGCTCCTTTTCTTTTAGAACTTTAAACATTGCGTGGTAAATAAAATGTAGAGCCTATGACCTCGTACCCCTTTTGAAACTCCCGTACTAATCTCATTCAAAGTGAGCAACTGGGCTTGCTTTCAATTCCCATTGTTGTTGCATTGTTGTTCCATTCTAAAGTCTGTAATACGAATGGCAAAGGTTACCGTACAGAGGAGCCAGTTGATTGGCCAAGTTTTATTGATCACGCCCCTTCGTTTCAGCGAGGAATATGATTGGACAGGACAACGGTCATGACGAGCCGTCATGACGAACCGTCATGACTAACCGTCCAAAACGAAAGAACGCTACCGAAACCCGCACATACAGCTGAGATAGCAGAGTTGATGAGGCAGTTGCGTAACCAGGGGGTACAGAGTGGAAGATTGCACCGGGCTAGAATGAGGGATGATTTTAACAGGAAAATCGAGACGCTGAAAGAAGCAAAATTGGGACGGGGAAAATAGATTACGCGCCTGAGTGGAGGATTTCGTCTGGAGTGCGTGCTCTAAATAATCCAAAGAGGAAGTGCGGTAAGAAAACCTTTTGTATAGAGTGACGTTGTTGAGAAAGAATGGGAGTTTGACGAAAATATTAATTTCCAACTATCAAACAATTGCGCAAAGAATTAATTTTTAAATAAGGTTGGTACTACGGTCAGGGAGTATATATACAGGGTTGTGCAAAAAGAAGGAAACCCACTTTTGACAGCAATTTTCACCTACTTGTTTAGCATTATTACAAAAATTCAATTTAAGTTATCAAAATATTGATGTTTGTCCACGGATGGTTTTATTCCACTCACTTGACTGAGTTTCGGAGCTTGATTTGAAGACAAAAAAACCCACTACACTAAACTTACACGTGGACAACAGTATTTTGGGCCTGCTTAGCAGACGAAGAGTAAATTTGTATACACTCTAAAAATTAATATTCGTCATTGAAGCCTCTTTGTTTGTCAAAATGAATAACTTTGTTTAGTAATTGCTGAATGACTAATTATTTGTTATGGAAGACTAATTTGCCGTCAGTGATGACTAAAATAAGTTGTCATTTTGACTAATGTACATTAGTTACGTGTATGAGAAAGTCATTGACTAATCTAAATTAGCCATCGGTGGTGGTTTTGACAAATGACGCGCAGTCAATGTCTCTGAAGAAAGATCGAATACTTGTCAAAATTAGTCATATATTCCTTCTGACTAATGAAGTTTGTTATTTTCCCGCCGTTGATGTGTTTAAAAAAAAGCGAGTGAGATACAAGTCAGCTGTGACCCCATTGTGACCCGGAGATGTACACATTATGGTGTACCATTAAGGACACTAGAACGGACACAAAAAAGTGCTAATTCAGTGGATATTGTCTGGACTAAAGTGTGATTAGTCAGAAATTCAGTTACAAATCGCGCAAGTCGCTTGACTACAGATTAGTCGTATCAAGCAGGTTTCTTTTCTTGTCATATGACTATATTTTCTAGTCTGAGTCTGACTCTTGACTGATATAGTCATTAGTCATCAATACTCTGTGACTAATTTAGGTAAGTCGTACGAGACATATCACTGGACAATTTTTTTTAGTCAAAATGACAAATTAATTTTTAGAGTGTACAATTTCCCATTGTAAGGTACCTTTTGACCGAGATGTAAGAAGAGGTTATGCTGGGCGCTGACATGCTTTGCTATGGGAGTTACTGCACAAAACGAAATTAGCGGGACTCGGTTACTACACCTTGCATTTTCTGCAAAAGTCTTGGGTCGGAAGACTTGATTATTTTTGAATGTTGTAGGCCTGCTTAGCAGTTTTCAAATGACGTAGAGTTTGTATACAATTTCTAAATTAAAAGGTACCTTTGGACCGAGATATAGAGAGCCAGTCGTTCTCGTCGCTGACAGGCCTTTCTGTGGGAGTTACTGCACAAAACGAAACCGTAGCGGGATTCAGTTACTACATCTTGCATTTTCTCCAAAAGTCTTAGGTCTGAAGACTTGGTTATTTGTGCATGTTGTATAGGCCTGCTTAGCAGCTTTCGAATGATGTAGAGTTTGTATACAATTTCCCATTTTAAGGTACGTTTTTACCGACATATAGAGAGCCAGCTGTGCTCGGCGCTGACAAGCCTTGCTATGGGAATTACTCAGTGAACAAAACGAAACCAATGACGTAGAGTTTGTATACAATTTTTAAATTAAAAGGTAGCCTACCTTTGGACCGAGATATAGAGAGTCAGTCGTTGTCGTCGCTAACAGGCCTTGCTGTGGGAGTTTCTGCACAAAACGAAACCGTAGCGGGATTCAGTTACTACATCTTGCATTTTCTCCAAAATTCTTGGGTCTGAAGACTTGGTTATTTGTGCATGTTGTATAGACCTGCTTAGCAGCTTTCGAATGATGTAGAGTTTGTATACAATTTCCCATTTTAAGGTACGTTTTTACCGACATATAGAGAGCCAGCTGTGCTCGGCGCTGACAAGCCTTGCTATGGGAATTACTCAGTGCACAAAACGAAACTAGCGGGACTCATTTACTACATCGTGCATTTTCTCCAAAAGTCTGGGGTCTGACGACTTGGTTGTTTTTGAATGTATAGGCCTGCTTAGCAGCTTTCGCCAATGACGTAGAGTTTGTTTACATACCAAGAGCAACCCACAAACCAAATTTGAGGTTGCTATAAGTAAAGTATTTCTCAAGCATTCGTGCTGACAATATTTCTATTGTTTTAGCAATATTGACCTTGACCTTTGACCTGTCGGCCCCAAAAGCGACACGCTTCTTAAGACTGCCAAGAACAACCCACAAACCAAATTTCAAGTTCCGAGTTAACTGAGTTAACCTAACCAAAACATAACACACAGACTAGCGCGTGTTTATGGTGTAAATCGAGGACACAAACGTGCAACATAATCGATGAATCGAGGTCAGAAACCGAATCGAGGACTCCTGGGTTCGAAAACGTGTACAAAACCACTAAGCTGTTGCGAAAAAGTTAAAGTATAAACACAGGAAAAGGGAAGAGGAACACTGAGAAAATCCTCGATTTACACCATAAACAAACGTGCTAGTATGTATGTATGTAACACACCGACAGACATAATTTTACAGAAGGAATATACTATCGCAATATCCCTCTCCGGCTTACAGCCAGGGGGATAAAAACATTTGAAATAAGTTAAGTACGTATAGGTTAAATTTCCTGTCAAAAGTGGGTTTCCTTCTTTTTGCACCACCCTGTATATAGTGGCTTGGAAAATCTACTTTGTCCTGTTCATCAGACTCAAAACTGCCCATCCCGGCCCCTTTTCCCGTCTCTACCGCGCGTTTAATTTTACTGTCTTCTTTGTGGTTGCATTTGAACCGAACTTGAAAAATGATGAAACATCTGTTGCTGTTCAAATCGTTCTCTGGATTTGCGCTTTAATAAGAAAGTAATTGCACTTTGTCAAATCGTTCTTGTTGCTTTCCAGATACTGATTGTGCTGTATAACTCACCGAATTTAAATACTACTGTCAACTGAAAATCATGGAAAACACATCAGCTTCAGTGGACTTCCTCACATCAACTGCATCATCAAACACTTCTGTTGTCGATCAACAAACGCCCAATGCCGTCCACACGTTCTCAGTCGTGATCAACTTGATCCTCGGCATCATCGGTCTAATGGGTAACACCATCGTCGTGCTGACAGTGCGCAAGACAAGATCTTTCCACGACATCACCCACTATCTGATCGTGAGTTTGGCCATGTCTGATTTCCTCTGCTGCTTGTTCTTCATCTGCAGCATCTTATTCGTTGTCGAGGGCCGCCCAATTCAAGTGGACATCCCGCAGGGCTTCTTCGGCGAGATTTTCTGCAGGTTGTTCTGGAGTCTGCATCTGTTCTGGTCTGCGTTCTTCGCCTCTGCGTTCAATTTAGTGGTAGTGACTTTCGAGAGGTATTTTGCCATCGTGCATCCAATTGCATACGCTCGATCCTTCACCAAGAAACGGGGCCTGATGCTGGCCGTCTCGGCCTGGGCCCTTGGTTTTCTCCTGGAGACTGAGTTCCTGATCAGGTTCTACGTGAACGACTCCGGAGAGTGCATCTTCCCAGGTCTTGGCCCGGTCTGGTTCGCCAAGTTGATGTTCCTGAAATCCTTCGTCATCAGCTTTGTGGCCCCCCTAATATTCCTGGTCTGGGCTTACTACAAGATCCTCAAAACCATCCGTCAGGCGGCGGCGAACTCGGAGTGCCAAGAGGGCATGATGGGACAGCAGAGGGCTGCGCTGCGCGAGGCGAGCCGCCGAGTTGTCCAATGCCTCCTCATCATCACCACGCTCTTTATTCTCCTCCTGCTGCCCTCAGAGCTGGGCAACGTCTTTTTGTTCTTCGAGTTGCCCGTGGACGCGCGCTTGGGGTTCTGGGAGGTCTTCCGGACCCTGACCGTCATGAACTCGGTGGTGAATCCCGTGGTCTACGCCATCAGGTTGAAGAAGTTCCGTCGAGCCATGAAGGCCACGCTCTGTTCCTGCGTGAAAACACAGATACAGCAAGAGGATTCGACTGACACCAACGGCATTGGCTTGAACACAATTTACTCTACAACTGCCCCCTGAGCTAGAAGAGTTTTAGTCAAACGGCTGAATCAGAGTTAATGGGGATCATTTGCCAGCCCCTATACTCCACCCCATGTTTTTAAATATTGACATTAAAAAAAACATTTCCCCACACTATAGACCCCAAGACACTGCCGCTGGAACAAACTTTTGCCAGGGGGTGCTTGAATTTCTAAAGGACGGACTTAATTTGGAATATGGATGCTCTGTGGTACGGTGCAATCTGAGGCGATTCCTGGCCACTTTCATTTGACTTTTTTACCAAAAGGATTTTGAAATTATAAAGACAATTTATTTCATTATTTTGTTTAGAATATACTGTTGCTCTTAAACGTTGAACTGTACCCTGGTGAACCCTGTATTTCTTTATATCTAATTTTTTTGTTCCATTTAATTCTGAAAAATTGTATCATTATGCATGACATCGCATGTAAATATTATTGTTGCAAGGCTGCTTTCTCGCATTTAGTAAATACCTTCGTGTATGTTTTGTTTTATTTTCCGAGCCCCTACGGCGTGGGGTTACGGGGCCAGGGGCCCGCTTTAAGGCCCCGGAAAATGTTGGATTCTGGATGCACTGTGATGAAATATAAAAGCATAATTACAGTATTAAAGCATAATTATGCTGAATGAAATCGTCATAATTAATTCCGATTACGGCCAAAATTAAGCGCCCGAATACCGCCATGGCCTACCATGTTGATTAAGATAGAGCAGAATTTTTACTATGTCCATATAATATTGACGCCGGCCAAAAAAGCCGTAAAGAAGGGGAAAACCATATATTTTTAGAATTTTTACTATGTCAATATAATATTGACCCCGGCGAAAAAGCCGTAAAAAAGGGGGAAAACCATATTGCATAAACTCAAGGGACGTTTAAGACTAGTCTGTTACATCTGTCAATACTAATTAAAAAAATTGTATTAGCCATTATAATTATGTAAAGCACCAGAAAGAAGTGCACTTCAAAAGGTTATTTCAAATCTTATGTACAGAGTGAGTCCAAAACAATGTGACAAGTTAGAAAAAAAATCTTAAAAAGATATGTGACTCGCTCCATTTTAATAAGATATTAATAAATACCTTGGAGAGTTGATGGTTTCTGATTGGTCGAGACTCGATCACGTGGCCGGTCATTAACGGTGATAATGGACCGGCTTCAAAGATCAAGCGAATAAATGGCCCCTGAATCAGCATTGATCCAGCCCCGTTCAGCCCCATGCAAGCCAATGATTGGTCAAAATATAGTAACTGTCCTGCGGTAGCTTGTAACAATAGAGCACTGCACATGCGCTCAACCCCCATCGCGTGAGACTGACGCGCGCGTACGCCCTACAGTTGCTAGGGATGCGTGCGTGCGCGCGCGTAAGGAAGTTTTGAAACGACATCGTACAGCAGTGCAGTATAGTACTGAGGATGTTTACGACGAGAGCGTAGATCTACGATTTATTTTCTTTGAACACTTCACCCACCGACATATTTACCTTTCCTAAACCAAGCATCTTTGTAATTCCGGACACAAGGAATGTGTAAACGAGATTTCAGCTTCCTCCATCAGGCAAAGATATGAAAACATTGTTGTAATTTGTTTCGCTACGGCAGCAGTTTCTGTTGAGTTTACGTCGTTATAGCTGTTAAGCTAAAATATGGCCCATGAACATGAACACAAAAAAGTCTGGAAATATCGCCGAAAGAAAGTCACCAAATTGGAGCATTTTAACTGTTTATTTCGTTAAAAAGGTATTTATTAATGGGAATAACAGTGTGAGGATCCGGTCTTCACTGCGTGATAATGACCGGGTGTGGGGGTGACCGCTGTTAATGGACCTCTGTCCTCCAAAATTGACCAAAAATATTTGACCAACAATTGACCAAATGCCGTGCCGTCAATAAAATGCACTCTTGACAAAAGTTATCTGAAAGCGGGCTTTGATATTTTGAATGTGTCTGTCCCCGGAAAATTGACCAAAAAACGAGCCCCCCCCCCCCAAAGTTTTCTAACTAGTACCAAATTTGATTCAGTTTTGACTCAAAGTATTACAATCTCATTTTTATATCAATGCCTGTGTGTAATCTCTGGTTCTCACTCAGCTGAACAGCTTCAACGTATTTATGATTCCATAGGTAGCTGTACAAATTGTCTATGGACTATCCCCTTGCACAGCAGATTCGGCGATTAATTATGCAAAACATGACACTCGGTCGATGTCTGGACCTCGAGATTTTGACCATTCAGAGGGCGCCTGCAATATCGGGGCTTCGGTTACCGGGGTATTACAAACCCATGGCAGCCAAATTGACAAATCAACAGCCTAGTCCACATTGATGATCAAAATGACGTCACAATTCACAAGTCGACTCCGATTGGCTGGCGCGCGGGTTCGCATAAGATTTGCATTGCTCAAATAAATTATGTCAGACGTTGGTTACGGAGATGGCTCCGTTGTAATACTCAGACTAACTGTATAAATGAGTTACAATGCATAACTTCTGATAGCATGGATCAATTTCAGCCATTCTTTTTTTTCACAGGAGTGGAAGAACATGCTCCATTGCTGTATCAAATTCAATTGTTTTTGAAAGGGGAAAAATCATCAATCCAGATCACTTTCTTTTGGACTCAATCCGTATTTGCCTACGTTCAGAGTTTTGAGTCGGTTAAGGATTAAACAATTTCCAGAAATTGGACGGGGTGCTATTACCGGCATTGGCGCTTTCAATTAAAAATGACATCATGTTGCCGGTTTTTATATAATTAGAACACGTTTTGGGCTAAAATGAGAAGTTAACACTAGGTGCATAAATTAGGTAGATAACTTGCCTGTTCTTGAATAGTTCAGGGTATATTTCTTATGTGTTGTGTCATAAGTATGGGTTTTTAATTGTGTTATTTTATTTACATTAGAATAAAAAAGTAATTAATGTAACTGTGTCAGTTTTATAAGTTGGTGTCGATCTTTGGCCATTGTGATCTTAATCTGAAAAAAATGTTAATAAAGTTTTCTTATTGTGTGCAAAATATAAAAATATTTAAGCGTAATCTTCTGTATTGTCGATCTTGCTAAATTTAATAGTTCAGACTGCGCACATGCAGTATACCACGCGTCACGTCTATGCATATCGCATATGCATCTGTTTCTTACTTCCCAGAGTCCTTTGCGAAAAGTGGAACTTTTTGCCACGTGACCAAACTTTCTTGGATACGACGACGCAAGCGCAGTAGAATGTTTCAGCTAAATTAGTCTGGTTTCTTTGAACCGGATACTAGTGTTAAGATACAAGAAATACATGGAACCGTACACGCAGACGACAACGAAAATTTGTCAAGTTCAATTTCACTGCTGCATGCTTTCGTTTCAAAGGTATTTTTTGGTCGCATAAGTTCGAGACAGTGGGTAAAACCTGCATAGAATAAGACGTATTTTATTTGAAAATAGGTCAGACAATTGGCAATGTAGAAATTATTGGCTATATTTTGAAGAGCGACTCGAAATAGGCAAATAAATGGCGAGTCACTCTGGTCCGTCGCATCATCACGGCCACGGGCATGGCCATCACGCTACACACGCTCAAGTCCTCGCAAACCACATGAATCAACATGTCTTATTGAGTACCGAAGTAACCAAGTTCTTGAAGCAAAATACGAAGGTTCCGAAAGGTAGGTCCATGAAAATGTCACGGTCAATTTGTAGCAGCAGTTTTGCCTTCTCTGAACTCCCCCCCCCTTCCCTTTAATTCTATTATTAAATCTTGACTTGTTAAGTTGTTTTGGCCCACCTCACCTGCCCACATGAGGTTGCCAAACTTCAGAAAGCAAATTAAGAGTTTGGATGTTTGTAACGCCGGCGGTTAGGCCCTAGCACTCCAGCAAAAGCAGGGAATCAGGTTTTTGAAGCATGCCAACTTTCTGGATAGTAGGACTAGTATTTGAACTCGTAGGCTTGTAGCTTGCTAAAACTTGTAAATGTAAACACGGTAAAACTAAGGCCAAGTAAAAAACAACAACATGTTTAGCGTCCGGCTTTTTGAAGAAAAAAAAGGAGGCAGGGCTTTTTAAAATTTATTTTCAAGATAAACCGTTGGTTTTACACTTTTCAAAAATAGCCTACACAAAATTGAACAGACATGCTGGACAGGAGAATTTACATAGGGCCTACAACTTGTTTTTAGTTTTCTAGCAAGGTTAGTTATGAAAAAAAGTTCTTTAATTGCAAGAAGTTTTTTTTAGGGGTGGACCTTAATTGGTACAAGTACAAATCGATAAGATTTTGGGAGTGATCCAGATCTGGGTCTGGATGCAGTATGTTTCTTAAGGATTCTTCACCATTTATGTGAGTATTTCTTTTGGGTTTACTGACAATATGGTGAGGAATTGTTTAGCCTTGGTGGAGGTTTGTGCTCTGAGCGCTTTCTACTATTCTAGTTTACAGCAAGTTATGCCAGCTAAACAGGCTTATGATATTTTTCTTTGCAATAACCTAACTAGTTAGCAGGTGGTTTATAAAATGACATTAGACCTACTTTTCTTTAATCAGTTGGCAGGGCTAGACCAAAGATTTGGTTAAAGTGCAATTGCAGTTTTTAAATTAACTGAAGGGCCCTTTAGCAAATTTTGAAATGTTGACATATGGAGAACTTTGCCACCCATATGTGCAGAAAATCAAAGCCCTGCATGCTCTGCGGTCACACACAACGGTGCATTGACCTGGCGACCTGCACAGCCCCACTGCGCTGACCGGACTATACATAAACAGCAGGTCGATCCTCAGAACAAAAGTGCCCCTTGTTCTTCTCAACCAATCAAAACGGTTGTTACATGAATGGAAAGCTTATTGTGTTATCTTTCAGAAACCGTGCGAGGTAATTGTATGCGACCGAGTTCACACGTGTGCTGTTCGAAGAAGTAAACCCGCACCCTCAAAAATCGGGGAAATGTGCCGTGACCTCCATAGGAAACGCGAAATTTTCACGGAGTTGCCCGTTTTTCAATGAAAAAGTGCACATAATTATTCGCCTTTAACCATGAAGAAATTATATTCATTTGAAAGAGGAAAACCTATATTTTATGATGCGATGCGAGGAAGTAAGTTTAACCAACATCTTTTTGCGTATTAACGAAAGTTTGCTGAGAGCGCCTAGATATGAGCCAGTCTTCCCACGTAAACAGAGCTGCACTAGTGCTCCCTAGTTCTCCATATGATATTGTACTTAGGGCCGATTCTTAATTTGTTTCCTTCTTTATGTTTCCCCCAAAGCCTTGCCATACCGTGCGGACTGTATACGCCAGCGTACCAGCACCACGTGTGTGCCACACACTGTCTATGACTGGAATGAGCAATTCACACGCCGACGGAGCCACCTTACAAGGGGCTTTTTCACCCCACAGCAAGTGTCTTATGAGCCCATCGGAGATGTGGAGCTGGACTCCCGCAGCTTGGTTTTCAGAGTTTTCTCTGACTCTTTGCCCAAAAAGGTGTGATTTTTTTGTCAATTTGTATATTTATTTCCAATGAATTTCTATTTGTTTTTTTATTGATCATTTTGCTTCATTCCATTATATCTGTTCTTGTGTTCTCTGTTCAAAGAGAATTTGGGCATGTGCTTCTTTCAATTTTTTTTTAAGTCTTGATGTTTAAATCTTATATTTTAAGTGTGCTTTAATTGTTACTTTTGTATGTTTCAAATAAATTTAGTTAATTTTTACAAATTGTTTGCGTTCTTTTTAAAAAATTGTTTTTATTGAAGACTGGTTTAATTAAAAGGCAATCAACTTTTCATCAATGTTTGTATGATCATTGGTTTAGGATCCATCTATTCCTGCATCACCAGTAATGTATTATTTCCTGTAATGCCATTTCTATATTTTTTTTCTTTAGATGCAAGCAGCTAATTTCTTTTTTGGTAATCACAAGCTGGGCTTCACACCTCCAAAAACAGCGGAAAAGTCTGAACAAGCCTCAAAGGTGAGCATGGGCCTAAACTTTACCTAGAAACATAACTTTAATATGAAATGTACTTTTACTTTCACCCATACAATGATTATTTTATTCCTCCTTAATTTGAACTTACTAGTATTAAAACTAGGATCAGCTTGAATTATTTAGTTTAAAGGAAACATTCAATAGGATTTTTATGACTGAAATACATTTAAAGCAGCTTTCTTGCCATGTTACTTCGACTTTCCCCTCCTTTGCAGCAGTAAAAGGGATAAAATTTCAACATTTTAGTTTTTAATTTTATGCTAAGAAAATTTTCATATTCATGAGCCAAAGCATGATGTCATTCAAGGCAGAACAGTAGTGTCTCTATAGCTTTGTGAACATATATATATAACAAACTTTTCTTCATTTTCCGCTTTTCACCTGTTTATCATGTTAAACAGCTTGTTTCGACAATAATAGTGGACAATATTTCTTCAAAACTTTGTTGTGGGTAATTTTGAAAGACTACTTTTTGTACTGTTGATATGCTCTTTTGACAAGGAGTACCTTGTGTGACAAAAGCAAAATGTATTGATGAAAGGATTTGATAATTATTGAAAAATTACCACTTTCTTGCCACTTCCAATGAAAAAAATATTAAGATTTTGTATGTATTGTTGCAACACATAGTAATGTGCACGAAAACAAGATGAGCTGAATTTCCACTGCATGTTTCCTTTAAAGCCAGAGCCCATCATTTGCAGCTATCCAAAAACTAACTGACGTAATTATTGTTGAAAAACATACTTGGTTGAAAGATAGTAATGGGACTAAACTCCCTGAGAAATTATTCTTTCTGGCAAGCTGTCATTTTGAAAAAATCAACGAAAGAAGGCCTTTCCAATGGTGCGTCTGAGAAGCACCGTCGGAAATTTCCGTTTGTAGTTCGTTTTTTTTATTCGGCAAAGCGCGCGCAAGCGTTGACAACACGATCACACATGCGCGGGTGGTTGCTATAATTCGTTGGATCGGTGCGCGACATCGCATAGCTGCAATCAGCTCAGTGAGAACGTGTCTCGAGCGCTGAATGCAGGCCCGATTCAAAACATGATTCAGCAACTTTTGATTTGAAATCAAGATCCTAGAATGTTGTTTTTCTCGAAATATACAACTAAAGCTGAGCTGAAACTTCATCAGGTTGATTGTTCAGCACCCTTGATTAGATTTTTAGCACTTTTGTTGCTTCAAACGAACAAAATGCACAAATTACAAATGATGGACTATACCTTTAATGGTTTATTAAAATTGGTTTCGGGTCTTTTCAAACCTCTTGTCGATCTTTCAAATTCTCAAGCCCCACACACCCAAAGCGCCAGACAGCCAGCGTGTGATGAGCGGCCGAACATCAAAGCTTGACAAGGAGAGCATCTCCTCTGCGGGTTACACTTATATCAAGAAGTATCTTGAGGAGTCCGAGAAGATACTTGTGGCCGAGAGAGGCGGGCAGACTTTTGAGAAATGCGTGGCAGATTTAGAGGTGAGTGACTCCTGTAATGCTAAAAATACCTTGAAATCCAAATTTTTCTCATCACGAAAAAGGGGGGAGGGGTTGATTCAATAGCCACCCCCCTGTCAAAAAGTGTGGGGGATATCCCCCCTCCCCCCTCCCCCTCCCCCTCCCCCCTCCCCCTCCCCCCCCCCCCCCCCCCCCCCCCGGATCTACACCCCTTCACACGTGACTGTGTATTTACAAGGTTTCAACGGAATTCGCTCTTTTCACGCTTCCACCATAGGCATGCACAGCCTCGATCTGGCAAATTTACACAATAGATATAGCCGGTTCAGTGTTTCCCGTGTCGGGGTTCAGATCACTGAACCGGCTATTTTCGTTGTGTAAAGTTGCCAGATCGAGGCTCTGCATGCATATGGCGGAGCGTGAAAAGAGCGAATTGGCTTTCTTTAACTCTGGATATGCCACTGTAATGCATCTTTAAGATAAGGTCACATGATGATGACGTCATCACAACGTAACTTGTTTAGGAGCGACATTAATTGGGGGTCTGTGCCTAGTTTGAAGTCAATCTAATTGCTATTCATGTCAATTTTTAGCAATATTAGAAAAAATATGAAAATGTTAAACCTTCATACAAAAAATGAGTAAAAAAAGTAAAAAAAAAACCAGCTAATAATGACGATTTCTGACAGAATGCTAGACGGGAGAGTGAGACCACCGGCACTCAGCAGAGCACCGTTACGTTCTGTCCACCGGCTGGCTTGCCTTATGGAGGGACGCTAGGCATGACTTCCTCCCAGTACAGCCAGGCTAGGGCGGCCAGCGTGATGTCCACCGATTCCATGCGGAGTGATGTCAGCACCAGGACTGCCTCCAAGACCAAGCCCATTGATGATGACGTCGAGGAGGAACTCATGAGGTGAGCACCAACAAAATGTGCTGAGCACGGAAAATATTTGCTTTAAAGGGAATGTACATCATTGGCTTTTGCTGTAATTTTCAGAAATGAAATATTTGAGGGGTTAGTATAATAGATCAAATATTGTTACACTGACATTCTTGAAGTTTTGTGTTCGAAAAGGTTGGAAAAACCGAGAAAAACAAAAATGTTCAAGTAGTCTGGTTCCCTGACTCCACACAAGATAAAATGGATCAATTTATAGATGATGGAAAATTGTAAGGCAAGGGAACCAGTCTAGCTGGCCTGCACCCGTTCAGAAACATGTAACCAATAGCAAACAAAATTTGGAATGAAAAAAATGGTAAATTTGGAGCAGTATAGTTGAAAAATAGCTAGGTTTTTCCAACGCTGGTCGGCCGACCACCGTTGGAAATGTATACAAAAATACCATTTTCTTGAAAATGACTTCACACCAGGTTCCATAATTTTACAAGATGCTTGAGACTGTCATTTACCAACATCCTAGTAAGGTATTTCGTAAAAACCTGGTAGTTTTATTTTTCGATGTTTGCAAATGTTGTATATTCCCTTTAATACCAAAAACAGATTACCAGCCAAAAAGTAATGCAGTGTCTATTGCTTGTGACTGTCAGCTGATATCTGCTTAGTACGTCATTTGGTTGAGCAATAATTTCTGCCGTATTGAGCATAATTTCTTCTTTGCAAAAATTTTGCCAATTTTGCTTAAGCTGTGAAGCACAAAACTATGCTTGGCACGGAAAATATTGGCTTAGTGAAAACAGGTTACGTGTCAAAAACGATATGCTGGCAATGATAGCTTGTGACTGTTTCTCAAGTGACTTTTGGTTTTAGCACTTACACTTGCTACACACTATTTGTTTTGCATAGCAGTTCAACTGGGGCTAAGGAAATCTGGTACGTAATGAATGATGGGTTGTCAGGGTTTAAGTCAAGTTTAATCAAACCACCTCCAGTTGGAATTCCATACTTTCCAAAATGTTGACCACTTTTTCTCAGTAGTAAACTCACAAAGACCTAACTTTCGTACTAAGCTTCAGTTAAGACCATTAGGTCTCTCTTTTTTATCTTTACACTTGTTTATATTCATGAAGTGTAGAAATAGAATTCTTTCCTTTCCATGGATGGGCATTGATAATTCATTCCATTCTCCCCAAAGTGCAGAGTGATGAATTTCCTCAAAAGGTATAATTATACACTGCTGAGCCAAACGTCGCCTCATTTTGTTCATCACCAGGCAACGGTTCATTTTATATACTTCATTTATATACTTCATTTTTCATAAGTCAGAAATTTCGGACTTATGAGGCGTCGGACTTATGATACGGCCCCATTTATTCATGAAGTGCAGTAAACCTTTGATAGAATCATTTCCTTTTTACGGATGTGCTGTCATTCACTTACTTCCTCCCCACTGAATTTCCTCAACAGGTAATACACAGCTGACTGAGCCAAACGCTGCCTCATTTTGTTCATCCCCACGCAACGGTTCATTTCATACTTCTTCTTTTTTTTTCAATAAAGTTCAGTAAACCTTTCATAGAATAATTACCTTTTTGCAGAAGTGGTTTCTTAATTTATTTTACCCCTCTCATCAAAATGCAGACTGAATTTCCTCCGCAATCACAAAGCTGTTGCAGAGAGACTCAAAGCCATCCACCGTGTACTCAACGCCCTGCACAACATGAAGAGCAAAGATCTGAGAACCAGGGTTCCCTTGTCCCACGAGATGGTCAAATTCCTGTACCGTCACGTCCCTTACGAGAGACCAGTTTTCAGGTGACCCATTTTTAACTTTAAATCTCATATCGTCTGGTTGTCCAATTGAACGTGAAATTGGAAAACTTACATGCATGTTGCAATTGTCTGTGATAATATTTTCTGTCATCCATTTGTGATGACGAAGCCAATTATTTTTCTAGAGAGCCCCAGGCACTTTTTTGATAGCCTGATAGAAACCTGTCACATTGAGTTTTGCTCATTGGATTGAAATAATTATTTCAAAGAAATCTAAATCATTTCATTAATTTTAATGTCTGAACTGTACTCCTCTGGAAACCGCTGTTGTCTTTGCATAACTCTATTGATTTCTGTTCTCATACTTGGTTAGTTGGTGGTTTCCACAAATTTGAGTTCAAATAGTGCAGTAACAGATCTAGAAGCGGGGGTGGGGGGGGGGAGGGTGGGGAGATCCACCCCCCCCCCCCTTTAATCCGGTGTCTAATGTTATGAAACTAGTAAAATGGATCCAGAAATAATAAATGGAATTTAAAGTTCCTAAATATATTAATATATTCGATGCCCAACAAAGCAACATAGATTTCATTGGGGGAGGGGGGGGGGGGGTGTGCGTGTGTGCGTTCGGTTGTGTCTAAGACTCGACCCTCTCCCCCTTTATATCAACCCCTCCAACAAACTGATAAAGTTTTAGCTCTGTGAATGCTTTATATTCTGAGAAAACAATATTCTAGGATCTCGATTCAAAAGTTGCCGAGTCACATTTTAAATTGTGCCTGAAAATTGTCGAAATCAGCGTGCGGGACACGTTCTCATTCAGCCAATTGCGCGATGTCATGCACTGAACCTACAAATTATATTAACTACGTGGGAGTGTGCGCACGTCAACGCTTGCACTACTAACAAACTACAGAAATTTCCAGAAAAGTGTGTGAAAATGACCTTCTTTTATTGTTTTCTTCAAAATGACAGCATGCCAGAAAGAATAATTTCACAGGGAATTAATTAGCGCCATTACTTTCTTTAAACCAAGTATGCTTTTCAACAATAATTTCGTCAGTTACATTTTTGGATAGCTGCAAATGATGTGCTCTACCTTCAACTTGCTATTGACTTGAGGAAAACTTTGCAAACAGGTTGTACTTAATTATTCCTTTTCAAACGGGCACTCTTTTCTTTCCCAGTCGACTTGCGAGAACCACAGGCCAGCAAGCTACCGCATCCACAGCCACAGCCCCAATGGATCCCATCCAGTCCTCAGACACAGTCAGCTCTGCTGATTTCAATCCAGGAGCAGCCACAGCCATGATGAGTAAATGGACTTCCAAGTCTCACCTCGGCAATCGGTCCACTGCTAGTGTTAAACCCGCCGACGTACCACCTCTGTCATCTACACCAGTACAGTGGAGAAAGTACGTCTGCACCCATCACTCAAATTGGATACAATTTTTTAAAGACAATTCTGTTGTGTTAATCCTAATATATATTTGAAAGTTTGAAAAGTTTTGTTAAAGAGATGCAGAAAGTTGGTAACTAAAGGTATATTATAACTTTAAGAATTGCAGTTTTAATTTTTTTTTTTTCATTTTGTTCTGGAACTTTCCCCCTTCAAGGCTGAACGTAATTTTCTTCAATATCTGGTTTTACAAAGTCTTCAGATTGTAGCTTTGTCTCTTTGATCCAAATATACAAGAAAAACAGTTTGAGAAAAGTTTTAGTTTTTACGAAGACTTTTGAAGAAAAGACCAATTCACTCAATTCATTCAACTTGTTACAATTCAATCTATTTAAAGTTATTATCTAACATTTTAAAATCATCTTTTTACAAAAAACTATGATTTTGTGATTGAAAACAAAGAATTCTTTTTGTGTTCATATTAAAAGCCTAATATTTTTTCTTTTTTTCATGAGGTTTTTGTAAATATTCTAAAGAAATTATATATTATGCAGGGGCAGATCTAATATGATAAAATGATGATGTAGATTTAATACAGGTTTCCACGTGTCTTAAGAGAACTCAATTTTGGTGCTTGACAGAAAAATAATGCCGGGGCGTTAACATGCAGTTGAAAGCAGCTTTTGAATGACTCCGAAGGATATTTCAAACATCATCTGAGGAGACAATTCCTCCCAGTTTGTACAATCCATTTCACAAATTGACCTATCGCTTTGCGAGTTAGCCACGCCCCTTAGACAACCCCATGGAATTTTGTACGTTAAGTTTTATTTGTCTCAGATTTTGCGTGTTCTACGTCCATTTGTATATCATGTAATTGGACAATATTTCATAACTGCGTTGACACGATTCAAACGCGATAGGTTAATTCCAACCAAACTGTGTAAGTGTCCATTACCAAATACCTTGACAGCTGAGGTGCATCTCTCTACCTTTTTCCATGTCTCAGATTTCGGCAGAACCTACCCTCCTTGCATCACAAGTCCCGTCCCTCAGACAAGGAGCACAGACTGGAGACTTGGGAGGACTTTCTAGCCGTCCAGACCTCCACTGGCCCCACTGCTGGCCAACAGACACACAGGGGCAGTCTGGCCAGCCAAGGTGAGCCACTGAATATTTTCCAATTGTCAGTCTTTATTAAGAGGCTATTTGGTTACGGCTCGATAGTCTGAAGTACCATTGGTCCGAAGTCCCATTGGTCCGAAGTCCCATTGGTCCGAAACATAATACTGTGTAGTTCCACTTGTTCAGGTTGACTGACCCTAACCCTAATCCTATGGGGCGTCTGACCAATGGGACTTCGGACCAATGGGACTTCAGACCAATGGAACTTCGGACCAATGGGACTTTGGACCAATGGTACTTCGGACCAATGGTACTTGGGACCAATGAGACGTTTATACCAATGGGACGTTTATACCGATGGAACACATAGAGCAATAGACCAATGGTACTTCGGACCAATGGTACTAATGAGACCAATGAGACGTTTATACCAATGGGACGTTTATACCAACGGAACGCATAGAGCAATAGACCAATGGGACTTTGGACCAATGGTACTTCGGACTATAGAGACGTCCCCCTATTTGTAACCAAATAATGAAAAATTTGCGGAAACACCATGTGCGAATAATTTCTCAACTAAGAGAATGGTTCTGAAAAAAACCAGAGGTATAAACTTGAGAGATTATCAAGTTGAGAAATTATTCGCACATGGTATTTCCGCAAACCTTTCATTATTTAGTATCTCCACCATGCAAAGCCTCAAATCTTACTTAACCTGTCCCCACAAAATGAGCTTATTAAAAAGTTGGAAATTGCCATGTTGAAGTACAGTGGGGCAAAACCAAAACTCGAAGGGTGGTCGATTTGTTGGTTTTCAGGTAAACCTTAATCTTTAGGCGAAAAAAAAACAAACATGTTTAGCATCCTGCCTTTTTGAGAAAAAGGAAGCGGGAGGCCCTAGCTTTTTTTTTTCTCCAAAATAGCCGACTGACCCGGCTATTTTTCAAGATGGCCGCCAGTTTTCTTTAACTGACCGCCATTGGATTCAGGAAATGACATAACAGCTGTACATGGGCCAGATGCAACAGATAAAGAGGCCAAAATGATGTCACTGTTGAAAATTATCATTTTTTTGTGTTTTTTTGTGGCCTCCAAAATGGAAGCGGGTGGGAACGCTAAACATGTTTTTTTTTTATTTCACCTTAAGTTCTGTTTTTCTTGTCTCCAACTTCTTTGCTCTGTCAAAACCTATTGCATCCCCTCATTATAAGTTGACAGTTCATTGTCTGTTACACAACTGCACAACTGCAGGATTTTAAGTGCCATTTTCTCAAGATTCAGTTTTAGTATACGTTGGTGGTCTGTTTTTCTGTTACTGAACTCAGTACCCCTTAATGCTGTTTACCATTGAAAAGATCTTGTTCTGCAGAATCCAGATATGTAAATATCTCAATTCTTAAAAAGTCAAACTTTTAGCTCATTTTGTGACTTTTTCTCCCAAATTTGCTACTGTGAATAAAAATTGTCCAATTGTAAAATTAGACTGCTTCTGGAATCAGTATGTTGGTGTCATACTGATGAAATTTTATTGAACCTGAAAACCTGGTCATATTAAGCCAAATGTCAGATTTTGCGTCTCACTCATCCCATATTTGATTTCTTCATTAACCACATTCCTTATCTCATCAAATAAATTACAGTGGGGACCGACCGACAAGTTAAAGTTAAAATAAAGTCAAACAAAGAAATTGAGTTCCAATTCTAATATCCACAGCAAAGAGTTTTCACAGTTAAGGCAAAAATAAAATAGTCGGTCTCTGGTCGGACCAAAGATCCGGAATCATGCAGCGACGCTATTAAATTTTTATTTTTTTTTGCTTTTTATTATTTATGTTTCATGCTTGGATTGTACAGACAAGGTGGGTACTGTTTTGCTTTTTTGTGTGTCCTCATATACATTGGTGTCCTCCATCATTTGCCTTAATTGGTGCCCTCCATCACTTGCCTTTGTGCAAGGTCCCCATTCCTTGGTGCTCATTGGTACAAAAATGTGAGCTGATTTGCCTTAATTGGTGCCCTCCATCACTTTTGCTTTATATTATTTTTTTCATGCTTGGATTGTACAGACAAGGTGGGTGCTATTTTGCTTTTTGTGTGTCCTCATAAACATAGGTGTCCTCAATCATTTGCCTTAATTGGTGCCCTCCATCACTTGCCTTTGTGCAAGGTCCCCATTCCTTGGTGCTCCTTGGTACAAAAATGTAAGCTGATTTGCCTTAATTGGTGCCCTCCATCACTTTTGATTTTTATCATTTTTGTCATGCTTGGATTGTACAGACAAGGTGGGTACTATTTTGCTTTTTTGTGTGACCTCATATACATAGGTGTCCTCCATCATTTGCCTTAATTGGTGCCCTCCACCACTTGCCTTTGTGCAAGGTCCCCATTCCTTGGTGCTCATTGGTACAAAAATGTGAGCTGATTTGCCTCGGCAATTGGTGCCCTCCATCACTTTTGCTATATATTATTTGTTTTTCATGCTTGGATTGTACAGACAAGGTGGGTACTATTTTGCTTTTTGTGTGTCCTCATATACATAGGTGTCCTCCATCGTTTGCCTTAATTGGTGCCCTCCATCACTTGCCTTTGTGCAAGGTCCCCATTCCTTGGTGCTCATTGGTACAAAAATGTAAGCTGATGCAGCAATAGAGATTGCTGTTGTAGCTACCGCGGAAATTTGAAAAAAAAGAAGAAAGATTGACGCGCATGATTAAAATCAACGCGCGCTGACCAGAGACTGACTCTTTTTTGTTGTGTAATCAGCACTTGTTTATTAGGTTTCTCAACTCTTTCTTCGGTGTTTTCCTGGAGATAAATTACATCAACCCATTATAATAGTCTTGTATTTTGTTCTACATCTTCATTCTTTGGTCTCCTCCTGGCTCCAGGTCATGTCAACCCACATGCCCTCGGCTTTGGCAAATGGATGGCTACTCATCATCGTCACCACCCTGAACGAGATCACCACCATCACCAACACCACCACCAAACACCAGCAGCCAAGCAGCCGTACTGGACAACCATGGCAGTGTCAAGTGCTGACAAAGGTTGGTAAACAGGCATTATATGGGACCAGATTCAATCAAGTGAATGATCACAGTGATCGAGATTTCGAAATCAAAACTTGACTTGAATTTTTAACAAAGCAGACAAGGAGCGTCGTTATGGTATACATAATAACCGTTGACACTGATTTTCAGGAAAGTTCAGTCAAGTGAGTCAGTGGTTGAGATTTTGAAATCAAACCTTGAAATTTCATGATTTAAATTTTTAACGAAGCAGACAAGGAGCGTCGTTATGGTAAACATAATAAAACTGATTTTCAGGAAAACCCAGATATTCAGGTCCTTGATGCTTTCCAAATCCCCAAAATTGTTAGCCAATTGATGATGATTATGACGGTCTTCAATCTTATAATAAAGAGATTGCAGGTTGAATTCCATCTCCAAACAAATTCTATACTAGGCCCAAATTTATACCTGTTTTTTTTTTGCCTGCTGAGCTCCATATCCCTGCAGTCAAAAGACAAGTTCAGACTTCTGGTAGCAGCTCCCAAACAGGCTCAAATATATATTTATTCAAACCAAAAATCTGTTTTCTTGCCTGTTGATCATCTAGTTAAGAGACAAGTTCAGACTTCTGGCAGCAGCTCCCAGACAGATGCCGTAGATCCTGAGAAGACCTTAATCACACTCAAGGAGAACTTCTTGAAGGTTCAGAAGAAGATGGCCAGGGAGTCACTCACAGACATTGAGAGGATGGAAAGGTTTGCACAGTTATAATGGAGTTTGTCCCAAGTCAATCACAAGTCAGTCTCAAGTCTGCCACAAGTTAGTTACAAGTCAGTCACAAGTCAGTCAAAAGTCAGCCAAAAGTCAGTCAAAAGTCACTCACAAGTCAGTCAAAAGTCAATCACAATTAAGTTAGTCAGAAGTCAGTGAAAAGTCAATCACAAGTCAATCACAGAAGTCAGTGAAAAGTCAATCACAAGTCAATCACAATTAAGTTAGTCACAAGTCAGTCAAAAGTCAATCACAATTAAGTTAGTCACAAGTCAGTCAAAAGTCAATCACAATTAAGTTAGTCAGAAGTCAGTGAAAAGTCAATCACAAGTCAATCACAATTAAGTTAGTCACAAGTCAGTCAAAAGTCAATCACAATAAAGTTAGTCAGAAGTCAGTGAAAAGTCAATCACAGAAGTCAGTCAGAATTCAGTGAAAAGTCAATCACAATTTAGTTAGTCAGAAGTCAGTGAAAATTCAGTCACGTCAGTCACAAGTCAGCGAAAAGTCAATCACAAGTCAGTCACAAAAAGTCAATCGCATGTCACTCAAAGTCACTCGATCACAAGTCAATCATAAGTCAGTCACAAGTCAATCACAAGTCCAGTCACAAGTCAATCACAAGTCAAGACACAAGGGGATGAACAATTTAAGAAAGCCTTTTTCACAGGTTCACTTTCTCCAACAGAGACAATTATGCCAAATACAAAATTAGATTTTATGGTTTCATCAAAAAAATAATTATCTGGGAAGATTGATTATGATTAGTGATTTGTTGTCTTTTTAGAGAGCGTTGCCGCACATTCCGTCAGAAGTTCCATGCAGCCAATGAACACCCAGTCTGGGAGATTGCCGTCCAACACATGAGGGAGGCTCCTCAGATCAGCCGGCAGCTGGCCGTGGCCGACGACAGTGACATGAAGGAGATCAAACCATCCAAATGGTCAGATTGCAAGACAGTGGAGTAATAATGTTGGTTTGATTTTCTGGAGGAGGGGTGAAGAGATACCCTGAGTGTTTGGTCGTAGTTTCTGACTTCTTCACATTTTTAAGGGGGGGGGGGGGGGCTGTACCTCTTCATCCCATCATAGTTACACTTTTGCCTCAGGGGAAAATAATACATTCTTGTTTTTAAAGAGTGAGGATTATCATTAGTTAAAAAATAAGATGTGTAACAGTTCTTTTGCTAAGGCTTAGATAGGCTTAGATAATCTTAGATAATCTTGTAGTAATAAGCTATCCACCATACCTTAGTATAACCCAGGCCAATTAAGTCGCACTGAAATACATTCTATTTGGATGTCCTTTGAAGGTACATTGATTTGAAGAAAGAAGTAGAAGATGTGGTGGGGAAGGATGACCCCGTCATCAACAAACTCACGCAGAAACTTGCGAGGTGGTCTCTGGAGGATGCCAAGTCCATCCCTAATGCCAAGGTGAGTCTGACGCGCGCCTCAATGCTCTACTCTCTCCCAACCGACACTTTATAGTATATTCGCTACAAATGTTGGATGACTTCAGTGCACTCTTGCAGCCCCAATTGCAGGGGGTTAATGTACCTCCTAGGTGTCCAAAGCTTGAATGCCACTATGCCAAACTCGCCTGCCTTCACCTCAACCTTCCACCTTTCCAACCATCAACATTTAGATACCAACCCCCCTTATCCCACCTAATTAACTTTCCTTCATTGCAACTTTACGCAACCTAATAGCAAGATGTGCACACCCTGAACCCAACCCCCATCCAACCCCCACCCCATCCCTTTCTTCCATCTCCATACCCCTTCATCTCTAGGAGAAGTTGTGTCTCTTTGTCCATTCCATCACCCAAACACAGCCTCTTACTTCACCCATTCCTTGCACCCACCCATCCCAAGCTACCCACACCCAGAACCCCGCCCATCTTGCACCACCTTGCCCTTTCTTTTCCCCTCTTGCACCCATCCATCTCAAATTTCCTTCCACCGTTGCAATCTTATCTCCAGCAGCTCTGCCTCTTTTTCATGCCCATGCCAGCCAGAGAGCTCCCGACAGATTGCTTGCAACTCCTTATATTCATCCTTGCACCCACCCATCCCAAGCTACCCACACCCAGAACCCCACCTATCTTGCACCACCTTGCCCTTTCTCTCCCATTTCTCATCCATCCATCTCGACCACAAAGTTCCTTCCACCCTTGCATCCTCATCCCTAGGAGCTCTGCCTCTTGGTCAGGCCCATGCCAGCCAGAGATCCCCCGACAGATTGCTTGCAGCTCTTTATATTCATCCTTGCACCCACCCATCCCAAGCTACCCACACCCAGAACCCCACCCGATCAAACCCCACCCCGCCCTTTCATTCCACCCACACCCATCCATCTCACCCTCACCCTTCCTCCTTCCACCCATCCCTAGGAGAAGCTCTGCCTCCTGGTCATGTCCATGCCCGCTAGCGAGCTCCTCACAATCGAGATGCAGCAAGCCGTCCAGTTTGTCTTAGAGCACATCCTCTGGGCTTCCCGTACTTCTTTCTTGCAGTGGCTCAATCATCGCAAGATTCCTGTCATCATCCAAACAGCACATTGAGTGGCCACTAACTTTGGCATTTTAACAAGGAACCTCAATTGACAGCATCTCTAATAGCCCCACAGCCAAACAACCTGCTCGCCAAAATCCAACACTTGCAGTAACCAACAATATATTAATTCTTTGCTCTTCAAAAAGATAGATTAGATTAGATTAGAAATTTTATTGCCCGCATCATAAAATACAGATAGTTTGTTTTCATTGGCACATTTAAGACTGTAAAATTTAGTTGGGACTTCAATTAATTTTAATTAACTTACATCTCGCCGTATCTCCAAAACTATATGGACTACTCCCCAGAAACTTAAGAACTGTTGCATGTTGTACTGTCCAGCTTTCTATCCATTTACAATTTTTTAGAAAAATCTCATTTCTAGCTACATTTATAATCAACCTTCGCTAACAGGCCTGCACGTGGGATTTTTGCACAGACAAAAGAAACTGGCAATTTTTGTTTTTATCGCACCTTATCTCAAAAGCTATTCAGTCTTGAAACAATGGGAGCTATACAGCTTTCTATCCATGTAAAATATTTCTGAAGTACTTCATTATCAAAGATTAAAATATAACTGTTTCCATTATTCTCGTATCCTTATCAACCCAGTGAAATCCACATGCCAACAAAAACATATCTGTAATAGCTACCTTTCAGAGTCTGTTTATTAAAGCAGGACGTAGCTTGCGAGGTCGTCGCGATCTCTTCATTAAGCGTTGCGGCTAAATCCCTCGGCTCATGCTTAACAAACAGACTCCGACAGGTACCTATTATTTCTATGTCTTTGAGTCAATACAACAGAGTCCAATATCAGTTGTCATGCTGCTAAAAACGAATTTGATAAATGGTTACGGTGGGTTTTATTCAAAGTTCAGTTTGAAGCACCTTTGTGAGTATAATTGTAATTACAATACATTTTGAACTTTACTGTTTTTAAATTTTTTTAATTTTTGAATTTTGCAGTTGAACTGCATTAATAACATTTCAATATCGGACAGTTCACAAGCATCTTTCCTGAAAACCTGTCATGTGACTTATCATGTGATCACATTTCCATGTTCTATAATAGAATTTATGACTACGGTCAAAATACCAAATCACAAACCGATACAAAACGTGAACATAACTTTACAAAAAAATCATGTCTGTTAAATATACTAAGCTTCTTCTTACAACACTATATTTTTTTGTGGTTATACTAAAAGAGTTCAGGTAAGTTATGATATCTTTATGATCAAGAATACTATGAGTTTTGCCATCAACAACATGGCAGTACAACGGAAACAATATACCTCAATACTAACATGCCACTGAAAGCGTACAGCAAAAGTACATGTGTAGATGACGCTGTTTAAAGGCATACACTGTAGGATCATTTGCAACAAGTCAAAAACGAAACTGCCAAAATATTATGAAATATCCTACTTGATTGTAAATAAATAATAGGATCAAACATCCTGTGAAATTGTTTCGCCTAGTATGCTGTCACTTTCAAGAAAAGAGGAATAAATCATACTTTCTCTAGCAATGGTTAAGCCAAACAAAATATATTTCTGCTTCCGGTTTTCCTACCTACCCTATTCTGACAGCCCCTACCCTATTTTTTTTATGGGAAAAATGAGGAAAAAACACCCCAAAACCATCCATTACTACCTTTTACCCTTGACTACACGCAGACGCCTCCATATGATCGTACGCAAAAATCCCCCCCCCCCAAAAAAAAAATAACTCCCTACCTTCCTACCCTGTTTTCGAATGTCATGTAATCGGAAGCAGAACTACGATTTGTGTTTGGCCTTAGGACCTAACCATCACGCTGTCAAAAGAATTTACGTTGAGAAAAATCAACATGCATTTTCAAATTTTCTCAAAAAGTGTAATATCCACTGAGCTGAAATCTTCAAGGTGTTGAACATTCTTCATTGGATTTTGAGTGGTATTATTACTGGAAACAACTGAAACGCACGAACAGAATATGATCCTATATGCCTTTAAGTCAGCCAGGAAAGAACACATCAAACGATTGTTGGCACTGAGTGGAAATGTATTTTTTTTTAAAATACAAAATGAAAATATACAAAAAAATATTTAAAAAAATTATAGTATTGTTCTGCATTTTGGAAGCTTAGGGCAATTAATTTTTTTTAAAATTTAAATATTGAATGAAATTTGACATATGAAGAAAAATGCCCAAAATTATCCGTTATTTCTTGAATGCCACACTGCCTCAATCCTGCAAAATCCTCCAGCAATCACTGGTCAATATGTTGCGGCATAGCCAGTGACATCCTGGAGCAGTGCGAAGGATTTCAAGTATAATCTAGGCCAAAATTTATGCACGGCTGAGCATAAACAACACAAGTTCCGGCCCAAGACCTTGACACAGTGTACCCTCCAAAATCAGCCACACATTTTTGCCATATAGCCTCAATCCTGCAAAATCCTCCAGCAATCACTGTCAATATGTTGAGGCATAGCCAGTGACATCCTGGAGCAGTGCGAAGGATTTCAAGTATAATCTAGGCCAAAATTTATGCACGGCTGAGCATAAACAACACAGGGTCCGGCCCAAGACCTTGACAAAGTGCATCCTCCAAAATCAGTCACATATTTTTGCCATATAGCCTCAATCCTGCAAAATTCTCCAGCAATCACTGTCAATATGTTGCGGCATAGCCAGTGACATCCTGGAGCAGTGCGAAGGATTTCAAGTATAATCTAGGCCGAAAATTAATGCACGGCTGAGCATAAACAACACAAGGTCCAGCCTAAGACCTTGGCACAGTGCAGCCTCCAAAAGTAGTCACAGATTTTTGCCATATAGCCTCAATCCTGCAAAATCCTCCATTTTGCAAAGAGGATTTTGGAGGATTTGGGAAGGTTAGGGTTAAATAAAACATGTCTCGCATGCTTCCCCACAAATACATGCAGTGTATACTTGAGGTAGTAAAACCCATTTATATTAAAATTGTGCACTTGCAGCCAATCATATTCTTCAGTTTTAACATATTTTAAGCTTAAATTACAATTGAGAAAACAGAATTTTGCATCAATACACTGCGGCATACATGCAGCTAAACAGAATTAATAGCTTTAACATAATCACTAGGTAAATTTATGTCAATAACATTTGCAATTTCACATATAATATACATTTACAGGTAAGGCTTTTTACATTACTTGAATATTATGTTATTGAACAATTACTGGTCAAAAATTTCAGTTAATCAAAGTCTTCAGCCCGATTCTTTGAATTTCTAAAGCTAGGAAAACCCTGTTTACAGGAATTCCACTGGCTTTCATTCACTGCAAACTTTGTTTTAGTTCATCGCGTAAAACTGATGGACAATATATTATGTCTTCATGTACATGTAAGTAACTGGGCAATTGAAGAAGAGTTTCTGTAAATTTGGCAAGTCAGAAATCCTAAAATCTCTTAATTTATCGGGAGTAGTACATATACAATGTATGCTCTTTTGACTGGCCACATTATCAGCTTCTTTTTTATTTTTATTTTATATGTTACGAGAATAAAAGTGCACTGGTCAGGGAAAACTTAGCGAATGTTGCTTTGCAAAGCTACACACACAGCAGAAATAACTTAGACTAGGTACAAGTTACATAAACTAAACATCAACAAACATTACCTTTTGGTTTGTACATGTAATGTGTTTGTGTTAAGCAAACCTTTCCCATTATATGTATAAGAGGGCAATTCCACGGTTACTCACGTTACATTTTCGTAACGTGAGTAACCGATTTTGTGCGTCTTGTTTATCATACATAACACATTTTTCTGGATGTCATCTTTGGTGCTTAGGTAGGTCTAGGTCTACTCATCTACCATGGGGATAACAGTTATTAAACCTTTTCAGTAAGGTAATTATAGCCCAAGAAACTCAAAAGTACATCAAAAATGTAACGTGAGTAACCGTGGAATTGCCCTTGAAAATTGAAATAAATGCCAAGTTTGGAAAATCAATACAAATGGCTGGCGTTAGCGTTAGCGAGCAATATATCTCTCTAGAACAACATCAATCAGCATATGTGGAAATTAGACTAAATACTTAAAACAGACTAATTGTAAACATATTGTTCTGAGCATCACCAAGGTTATATGCCCAATGTTTACACAGATAGGATTCACACCCATGACCTTCTGCTTAGGCCAAAAAAACCCCCAACTTCTGCTTCCGGTTACCGGACCGACCCTATTTTTAGGCCGCGACCCTAAAAATGTTATCGGCAAGTCAAAAAATATTAATAAATGAATAAATAAATTTTAAAAATCCTGTCTTCACAAAACACCTCTCAAAAATCCTTTTTGCTTCAAGTATTGATTTGTTTGCCTCCGTTGACTTTACAAGTTCACTTCGCGATAACTAGTTCGCAATTCGATGTCGTGATATGAAAACACGTGCGTAAAGCTCAATGCAGCTATGACTGGTTCCCACCGTGCCACGCCACGCACTTAAAGGGCCAAAGAGAAATGCGTTAACCAGTCTATACACGGCCGCGGTGCACTGCAGTTGCAGGTCAGATTAGAACTTGATCTCTCGTGTCTGTGTATGTATTTTCTGTGTTCATGAATTTATTTCGAGGTTGTACTACTTGTATTTAGAGTAATACTATGCAGTGTGGTTTCCCAAAATGTCCTTTCGTAAAAACGAGGTTCGTTGCCTGCCACACACAGTGCATCAAGCAAGCTGACACCGCGCGATGAATACAGAGAACGTTTGCCAGTTTCCCATCTTGACTAGTGTTGTGCATATGGTGTGAACGACCTGAATTGTCCATTATTTTTAAGAATTACTGACCTTAAATATTTTGACAATAATCAAAGTAAGTTTTAAACACTCTTTGTGGCCATTTTTTTTTGTATAGCTTTCGTAGTGCAATGGATATAGTTCAGGCTGAAATTTGCATATTATTGAATACCCCATTCAAACAATAATGGCAAAAAATATTTAAAAATTCCGACCTACCGACCCTATATTTGAAAGGCATGTTATTGGAAGCAGAAGTATTTTTTTTTTGTGGCCTTACCAGTGCAGCTGTCGTCTGAGATTTCTTACCACTAGGCTTGCTGGGGTAAGTTCAAACTCAAAAGACAATTGCAGCAGATATAGGAGTCTTGGGACAAGACACTATTGTTGTAGATACGTGATAACCCGCCACCGAGATAACCCGACACCACGAGAGAGCTTTATCACCGCTGTATGGCAAGTACTCTTGAGTCCATAAACAGCATCAGTAATTGTTTTCATCCATGCACACAAGATTTTCATTTGGTTATCAATCCGTAACTGAACCTCTCAGCTCGTGCAGCGTGGACGTCAGTATCCCATACGACGCGTTGATGATGCCCCACGATATCAACGCTCGGCTGAAGTTGAGATGCACCCCCCTGAACATGGCCCGCCATCTCCGTCCCCTCTCATTGTACACGATGTGAAGTGTCCTCCAGGCGGACACAAACTCGCCCCCGACCTGAGACTGCATCTTGGTCTTGATGACGTTGACTGGGAACCAGATGGTGCTTAAAGATGCTCCTAAAATGGCACCGTTTACGAAGTCACTGCTAATCTGTAAACGGATGAAAGAACACGATATTACTCGGTAAAATTGTTTAACCCCGACAGCCCTGAATCCTTCAAAATCCTCTTTGCCATAGTGGAGGAATTTGGAGGATTGAGGTTACATGGCAAAAGTGAGTTACTCGCTCGCTCGTGTGTCAGACGACGTTCTGCCATCGCTTTGCCACAGCTATTGCCACATCACTGCCCTCGTGGAGGTCGTCAATGGTGCACGTATCTCCACCACATGTCAGTAGGTGGGCCATTGTCTGGACTTCTCCACGGCTCCATCAGTGCGTTACTGATTCCGTAGGATGCACTTTGTCAAGACCTTGGGTTGTTTTAGCTCAGCCATGCATAAATTTAGACCTGGATTATGCTTTAAATCCTCCGTACTGCTCCAAGATGTCACTGGCCAAGCCTCTACATATTGACAGCCACTGCCGCCGGATTTTGCAGGATTCAGGCAGTGGTCACCCCTCCACGGACCATATTCAAGAAACAATGGAGCAATTTGCAGGACTGAGGCTATATGCTATTTTTCCATGAGGCCAATTGGAGGATTTTGCAGGACTGAGGCTACATCCTAGCAAAAAGGGAGTTAGGGTTAACAAAATGAGCCTCATATTTAAACAGTATAACTGCAATTCCCGTTGAAGAACCCTCAGAGGTAACTAGAAGTGTTGGGTGGACAGAGACAGAAAATGCCACAGCCATCACAATGCAACAATTGCTGAACACAACGTGGAACCTTTGCAAAACAAGATTTCATATTCAATGCCAAACTGTATGCAGAACAATTGAGATCAAAAGAATTGTTCAAAAAAAAATGAACCCTATAAAGCACATATCAAGTTTGGTTGAGATTGATGGCTCAACTAGAGTTTCCAAAAGTGTCTAAAGTGTTTAAATACCTTCTGAACTCTGGAGGCATCTTTGGGTGTGAACGTCTGTAGTTTCTCCCTCATGGTGAAGAAGATGGCATTGCTGGGTCCGTTGCGTAGAAGGATCGGCGTCAACCCGCGGTAGTACTCGCGGAGACCGTAGTGCCGCAGACGATGGAAGACTTGGAAAGTGTTGTCGAAGTTCTTCATGTGACGGTGATCCTGGAGTAACGTCTGAACTCGCTCAAACGGGACGAGGATCGCCTCTGTTGTACCTGCAAAACAGACACTCGCGTTTGAACAGACGTCGTTTAATTATTGGGGGCAAAATCTGCTTGATCACAGAGCCAGAAGTTTAAATTTTTCACCACTAAAAAGTGATTAACCCTAGCATGATTTACTAGGAACCATACCCATCCTGGCAAATTCCAACACCATATGGGAAACTGCACACACGTTTCTGACTTTGATTCTGGAGGTGTGTCAACCCAATGTAAAAGACTGTCAGTTTAGGGGTACTGTACCCATCCTGACAGATTCCAACAAAACATGCCATTGGGGTTTGACGGGTTGAGTTGTTAGGGTTAATGCATTGTAATAATAAAGGATTTCTACTGGCCACAAATGCATACAATATGTTTTCCTTAACCTTCACCCCTTGAGTAATTTACTAGAAACCTTCCTAACTCTTGCAAAATCTAACACTATATGGTAAACTCTACACCCAAACTATTGGACTCTGATTATTATGGTGGTATGCCTGACCCCATGTAAAGCATAATCAGTTCACTTGTGCAGTGCTCACTCCAACAGATTCCAACAAAAATGCACTTGGATTTTGAAGGTTCGGGTGGTTAGGGTTTATGAGCACCATTCATTACACTGAAGATGCTACAAATGAAGGAAGATTTTGTAGATCTACATGAATAAAGATGCCTGTTTGATGTGTCTGCGGAAATCTAGATGCTCGTTGTTGCTACTTCAGTGAAATTGCAAGAAGTTGTCTTTCTGAAATGACCAGATCATGTTATTATTGTCCTCCTGAACAGACGTTCTGATTTGAAAATCACAGGTGTGTGGAAAGAGGCACACGTGAAATGTTCTAGGCGTGTGGTTTTTCTAGGTGTGTGATTTTCTAGGTGAGTGATTCTGTGGTCAAGGGCCATTCAGGCGTGCAATTATTCACACTTCTCGGGAAGCTTTTGGGCCTGCGATGGCGTGGGGGTGCAATCTCACGCCTCAAATCATGCCTGAATTGGCAGAGAATTGTTTAGTGACTGAGAATTGTTTGGCTGAAGACAGAATGTACTTCTTTCCAAGCGGATCATAATTTCAGTGAAATTTTTTTACCTGAGAGAAGAGCTGCAGAGACTTTGGCAACAATCAACGGGCAGTCCGAGCAGTGCCTGATGAGGATCCGTGAGTACTGGTCATAGAGTCCAAACATGAGTGACAATCCCGACATGCGCTGCAGCAAAGGTGGTAGCACACCGCGGTACAAATGTCTCGCTCCTTCCTTCTTCAACTGGCTTAGCGCCTTGTGAACCCTTATGCTATGGAGTTGCTGCCGGAAGATGATTTTGTTGACGGGGAACGTTACGATGATATTGATGAAGGCCGCCCCAGCTCCCCCGGTAAACTCCACCCAGTCCGGTTTGTCCGTGCACGTAACGTCCTCGGTAAGCAACTGGCTCCCCGCAGTGATAAAGGTATTGGGTGGTGCGAGCGACACCGGGAGGTGAAGGGAGCTGTTTGTAAAGGGCGCCCTCGGGTGACTGTCCTGTGTGCATTCGCTGCGGTGTGCAGTGTCGTTGCCCATGTTGGTATGGGTCGGTTACGGTTCGTGGGTGTTGCGTTGGGATCCAGCCTTGGTGACATCAGGGGAAACACAGGAGGGGTAAAAGGGGGGCGTTTGGGGACTCGACGGTTTTCTAGCTTGACAAAACTCTGGCAAGGTATTCACTATGGCCCCTGCTTCTGACAGTACAGCTGTTTAATCTCTGAAATAAATATAACACACAATAAATTAACTGCCTAAAGGGTGTGTGAAAAATCATATTGAAAAAAAAAAATTCACGATTTTCTTGCGCGGTTTGTGCCTTGCGATCCAGCGTGCCGTGCGTGCTCACGGTACATTCCGCGGTGATCGCCATTTTTATTTTCGGGTCGTGTGTTGTCGCCGCGCTGTCATCGTCATCTTAGGCCTAGGCCATGTAGGCCTACCCCCGAATTCCCCTCAAAAAATCAAAACCCTGCCCTCTATCTATGTCATGCCTGTTCATTGAGAATGTCGCCAACTAGCATGACTAGTTTGGTAGGTCCAATAATTTTAAACTGGAGTTTGTTCCCTTATACTAGGAACCGGGCCCCTACTCCTAGAACTATGAGGCTCCACGTAGTAAAGCCTCATAGATCAAGAAGCCCGCAAAATTGCCTGCAGCACAAAACACTAATAAAGTACAAAAACGTCCATCAAAATGGAGACATTTCACACAGAAGCGCTGCACAGTTTGCCCCTATACTCCGTACTTTATCTCTCGACATACTCACGTATCATGCGCAGAACTAACATAGGAGGATTCTGTCGGTTTTTAGGCCAAAATGATGAAAAATATGCCCTTTCCGCACTGAGCCAACCTGACACTTGAAACGTGCACGCATATGATCGAGCGATGATTTTCGGTTCGCTCGGAGCGCGCCGCGGGGGGGGGGGGGGGGGGGGGGGGGGTTACGGTACATGCACTTGTACGCATGTACATACTATCATTTCGCCTGTACCGTACCCCCGCGGCGCGCTCCGAGCGAACCGAAAATCATCGCTCGATCATATGCGTGCACGTTTCAAGTGTCAGGTTGGCTCAGTGCGGAAAGGGCATATTTTTCATCATTTTGGCCTAAAAACTGACAGAATCCACCTATGTTAGTTCTGCGCATGATACGTGAGTATGTCAAGAGATAAAGTACGGAGTATAGGGGCAAACTGTGCAGCGCTTCTGTGTGAAATGTCTCCATTTTGATGGACGTTTTTGTACTTTATTAGTGTTTTGTGCTGCAGGCAATTTTGCGGGCTTCTTGATCTATAGCCCTACACTATACGATCGCCCTTCATCAGTCAATAATGCCAGGCAGTTGTCTTTTTGTTTTTGTCTTTTTGAGTAATAAAAAACACTCTTGACTCTCCTTTGATCGAAACAAAACAGGGGCCCCGCCCCGTCCGCCCTAACACTACCAGTACCACTACACAATCGCCAACGTCACTGACATATTTGTATAGGGCCTTATCCTCGACCCTCCATTATCTGCGCAGCTAACGCTTGCAACGCGCGTGCGTTATCACACACAATCATGACAATTGTGAGTGCGTAGAAAAAGGACTGCGTAGCTTTAGGGAGGGGGTCTGACGATACTAGGCTAGGCTAGTTACTGTTTTGCCTAGGCTCTAGATCACAACATAGCTTCTAAAGCCAAGCAAAACCCTTTAAAATACTCACCACACGAGTAAAAAGCTTCAAATTAAAGCATTTTCTTGGCCGATCTGAACGGTCCTACTAAAGCGCGTCAACAAACGTCAACAAGCGTCAACAAGCGTCAACAAGTTTTAGTAGTCGTTAAGTGCGCGTCAACAAATTTTTTATAGGCTTTTGAACAATAAAAACAGCTTTATATGGTAGAAAAGGCAATAATGAACATCTTCTGCATATCAATTAAAGTTAAAATTATTTTAAAACTTGGTTTTTTGGACGCGAAATGTACGACGAATTTGTCGATAAAAGTTGGCCGCCATCTTGTTTATGTGTAGCTAGCCGTACTACGCATGCGTGAAGTGTAAAGAGCCATACTACGCATGCGCGAAGTCTACAGCGCCATCCAAACAAGATGGCGGCCTACTTTTATCGACAAATTCGTCGTACATTTCGCGTTCAAAAAACCAAGTTTTGAAATAATTTTAACTTTAATTGATATGCAGAAGATGTTCATTATTGCTTTTCCTACCATATAAAGCTGTTTTTATTGTTCAAAGGCCTATACAAAATTTGTTGACGCGCACTTAACGACTACTAAAACTTGTTGACGCTTGTTGACGCTTGTTGACGCTTGTTGACGCGCTTTAGTAGGACCCGATCTGAAAACTTTGTGCAAATGCAGCAGTTCTTTATTGATGGACATGCACCTGTCGAAAACGTCAACCTCGCTCCTGCGTAATTATTGCATGCACATTGAACTTGAGTGTATTTGGAGCGCAACGTAAAGCTCATGGGACCAATGTTGAAATCTGAGCCCCTGACGTTTTCTGTTTTCGCGATCGCTGTGTGCCACCTAAACTTTCTACAAGTCGATGATTTTGTCGTTTTTGGTCCTGATTCATTTCATGCGTCGGTCACGGAGTAGAAGTGCGCCCTCTCGCAAAACAACCCACCCCGAAAAGAATACATCTGAATAAAAATGTATGGAGAATATATATTTTCAGGCGTATAAGGACAGTTAAAATAATTAAAAAACTCTATTGAACTGGAAAATGTCGGTGTTGATCTTAGTTTCAATGTTGGTTGACCACCTCCAAAATGTCCAAGCAGAATACACCCTCTTTTTTTTGGGGGGGGGGGGGGGGGGTGGCCGTGAATTATTTTTTTCCCAAACATCATCTATGGATGGTTGTTGAGCGCCCTCTACGATACTTTTATGGGAAAAATTCGCAGGCAGGCCAATTGCGCACAAATAATTTGCAAACAGTATTACATAACTCATTGGCTAAACACAATTACAAGCTCCAACAAAAATGTTCACTGTGGTAGACTATGATTTTGTCTACTGTTTTAATTATCCAAATGCAATACACTTTTTACATACATATTTCATAGATTAATTTCTATAATGCTCTTAAGTAGACGTGTTGGGAACATTTATAATGTCGTTCAATAGTATTGAATCGTACAATTTTTGTGCACAAGAAGGGTTATAACTACTTTTGTCGCTAAACAAAACACAGAATTAATAACAAAACAGAGAATTAATACAATTCAAATAAAATAAAAATTTTGAATTTTGTCAAGTTTTTAATAATCTGCCTTTTTCAAACTGGGTTGTTTCAATAGAATTCTTACAGATTTTTTTTAAAAATTAGAAATTGGTGTTGTGTTTACAAAATGGCATCTCATGGCAACAAAGGGACACATCATTGTAAATGTGGTGATGTTATTTAACAAAACGAATCCACACTAAAAGTTGGCTTCTTCAGAAAAGCATGATACGACAGCCTCAGATCGAGTTGCCCTTTGTTTCGACAGGATTAAAATCCAAAAGGACAAATGCCAAGTTTGTCTCTCTTCACGTAGGCAAGCTTTTCTTAAATCTTACAAACTGAGTTAGTGGTACAGATGCGGGAAGTATTTGCGTGAGTTGTGCCTTTGATGATACAAGCATGGCATTTGGCACACAGTCAGAGTGTGACATGAGAAAGATATTTTGGCTTTGAGGCTATCACACATTTGTCCTTTGAACAAAATATAAGTAGAATAACAAGCAATTTTCAAAATTTTCAAAATGGCTGCCATTGCTTGATTTTCTACCTACGAATTTTCAAAGGACAATTCTGCGATGGCCCTATAGCCAAATATCTTTCTCATGACATACTCTGACAGCGTGCCAAATGCCATTCTTGTAAAGGCACAATCCCATCACCTATCTGCCGTAATAAATGTACTTTTCCAAAATTTCATTTTTCATTCTGCTAAATCGTAATTATAGTTAATTAAAAAATATAGTTAATTAAAAAAAAAATTAAACATATTTGCAGATTTCAACTTACAGTACTTTTCTTTTAAACATGCAAAAACTCTCAAATTGAATTACTTTCAGTTTACAATCAAGCAACTTCTTATATTAAATGTATCAAAATCATAATACACTGTGCGTACTTAAGATTGAAACAATATCATATTTAGAAACAATAACTGTACTATATTGCAACAAAAAGACGATTCTGAAATGTGCTTTGTTGGTAAATCCCTACATCAGAGAATAACATAATGAAGTTTGAAAAATATTAATGTTGCTTCAAAGTTACATGCCGAAGTAACATAAATGTTTAAAAAGCAAAAACTCTGATGTTCTTGGGTGCTGAGTTTACTCAAAGGAGATTTTCAAACTCTACTTCAATCGCTTTATTTCCAACCAAAAAATTGAGCACTTAATAACTTCAAATGTCTGATTCCAAAACTCAACAATCAATAAAAAGATTGAAATTGATTGAAACATGCAACAATAACGGCAATTTTAACCAACATTCTTAACTGATACAAACCAGTATTACTCCTATAGACAGGTTGCACTGCAGCCATGTTTGAGGTGTGTGCTTTTGTTCAACAGGGACACGCATGAGTGGACCTCTTGTGTGTTCATTAACCCTCTGCTATTTGAACAGTCACAGACACTGAGACAGTCAAAAACATAAATCCTCTTCCCCTGCCATGCCTTTTACACAGGCTAGTCACCAACAGTCGGATCATATTTCAAGCAAGCACTGTGACTAGTCAAATTCAGTCAACAGACAAAAACAAAAAAAGTGTTAAGCACAGCTGGCTTATCAATCACCTAGGGTGCGTTTGAGCGTGTTACTCTTGCTACTCCCGTGTGCAGGAAAATGTTGCGTGCGCATGAATTACTCTCAGTGCAGGAGTTTACTCCCGGTATGATGGAGAGCATACTCTTGCTAACCCGCGGGTCGTACTCCTGCCGTTCGGGCGCTCAGGAGTATACTCGTGTTAACACGAGTAGCACGCTCGAACGCACCCCGACAGTCAAAGCATAGCCGTATCAAATTACATAAACAGTCACAGCCAGTCAATCCTGCTTTCTGTAGGCTGGGAGCTCTTAACCATAGAAAACAGTCACTTGATTGATTTTGACTGAAATGACAACTTGGCACAGAATGTATGTTTGCATAGGAGGGTTAATGAATTAATATAACAGAACACAGCTTCAAGATGGCCACTGAATGCAACCAATCTATAGTATCACTATATTACACAGGGGTGCTTTGGTAATTATTCTATACGTACAAGTCGGCCTACATTTGTAAATATTATTGGGAGAAGTATACATGAATAGGATAACATGTTATCACCAACATTTTCACAAATCACTGGGTATAACTTCAGAAAACCATGCTCATGGCTTGGTTTTTTTATTTGAATTTTCAAATAATTCCCAAACAAAGGACTAGATTACATTTTACAGGAATTTTGCGTCTGGGAAATGTCAATTTGAATACTGGGTTTCCCCTTCACCGATAATGATATTCTTTACTGCGCCTGGAAAATTACACCAGTGAAAACGCAAAAATTTAGTTTTAAAAGGGAAACAACATTGAGTTGTAAAACTGACATCCCTCTGATACTAAAGCAAGGAAAATTATTGAGTAATAATTAACTTAAAGGGCTCATTTAATATAATTTTTTTTAATCCAGTCCTTGTAAATGCACCTTTGTGTCCCATTTAACTTTATTTTCAATTTTCATTTTGCCCTTTTTAAGGGCATTTTGGTGCCTATTTAGTTTTATGTTAATGAAAGTATGTATATTCATGAGCAAAAGTGTGATGTCATTTCAGGCAGAAACCTCAACGTTACAGCTATTTCAGCAACAAAAATTGCCAGAATTTGGACATTTTGCTGTTGTACTTCCTGAAATGGTATTCTTCCTGAAATGACATCACAGCAACAGCGCCCTCCGCAAAAGCAAGGACAATTTTAAATGTTTAAAGAAGTGCACTTTTCAATAACATTAGCCAAAAAGGGATGTCAAATAGTTTTCATACATTTAAGAGGAGGAAATTGCACAAATATGTTCCCAAGTAAAATTCATGTGATTGGCCCTTTAAGTATTAATGAATAGAACACCTGCAAAAAAGAAGCTGGTACATAAATCATTACTTCAACTGGAAAAGTAAAACAATCTTTTCCCCAACCAATAAAGCATCTTTCATAAAATAATAACGTGGCATTACATTTTCTACCCTGCCTTAAATAGTAGAATTTAATTCAGTCGGAATTTTAGTTTCAGAGACTCCACAAATCTCTCTCGAAATTTCACACAAAAATATGGACATGCACCGACGATCCTCATTATTCACAGTACTAAGTATTTTACATACAGGGATCCATTCACTGGTAACCTTGCTACTGTGGGTTGTTAAGGGCATGGGGTTAATAAAATGCTTACCAGGCAAACTACTTAGCATATGCAAAATATGCAAATTACATTATTTGCATATTGCATAGCAAATCATCTGATTTATGCACACTTTTTTTTGCACATGTACTTAACAAACAGTGGTACATGCACACCTGCCTAGATGCAAACTGGATGAGGTATTATTGAAATTTTCATTATGTGCTTGTACCGCAGTCAACATGGGTCAAAACCTTTATGTCGTGCCATTCTTTCCTTTATCCAAATATCATTTATATTTTGCAAAGAACCTTCCGAAATGGAACATTCTTTTTACTGTATCAAAAAAACTCCCTATGAGCACGTTTTAAGTTTGTAGTCCATTCCATTCGCAAAGTAGGAATGACAAAGCACTCCCACAGATCCAAAAGTTACATTCCAACAACACTTGGTGTCCTTGCACCCCTCTTCCAGGAAATGGTCCCGCCAACAGTCCATTAGTTTAACTCATAAGCGGTCCATTCCATTCCAAAGAAAGGGAGGCGATAATCAACGAGTATATATTTATATACATATATTACAAGGGAGCCAGCAGGTCCATTCTTATTGAGGCTCCCGGTAGATACATTTGGCAAGTTTTTGAATGGTTCGTGAGGATTGATCCGGATTCCAACAGTTCACTGTGAATTCCTCACAAACATCTGAGCGGATTCGAACCATGGCCGTTTAGGGCGTGATGAGAATAAAATCTAACTGAGGATCAAACATAGGTCGCCACTGAGGTCAAAGGTCATGCTTCCATCATTCCTCTGAAGGTCACTGCGCAAGTTGACGGAGCAATCCACAATCCTCGGGTGGACTCGAACCGCAGACCAGTCCAGAATACGCATCGTACATCTGTTATAAATCTTGCTTGCGTGGCTTCTCTCAGAAGTTCAAGTCACATTTCTTCTATCTATCCTCGTTTTAAAAGGTTCCATCCTCTCTTTAATCATTCACATACAAAGCTGGATTCGAACCATCGACACTCCAGAATGCAACTCACAATGCATTCCATGTAGTGCAACATCTCAAAATTGCTGTCAAGTTCTTGCATTCCCCCTCATGCAATCCGCACAGAACTGTAACTGGACTCGAGCCACAAACACTTCAATGCATAACTTCATCTCCTTGATTTTCGTTTGTATTTTGTTCATTTTTCACTTGACGATATCCTCACATTACATGGAATACGGAATTCAAATCACAGACACTTCAAAGAATTGTCACAGTTATCTGGATCCAAACCCTAGACACTTGCAAGTTGGGTTGAGCGATTTCCATTATTTTTCTTTGTACAGTTTAGGCGAGTCCGAATCCCCAAGCTTCCAGATCAGCGATGATAAAGTCCTCATCGTGAGCTAAACACGGATTGGAAAACGTCTTACAGCTCCTGCTTCTTCCTCTGTACAAGTCTCCGTCTAGCCAGAGACCGAACGCACCACTGTGGACAAATGGAAAAACGTCAGTATTACATACCCAAATTTAAAAATAGTGCAAGTAGAACTTGCGTGATCCCCCGGCATCCTGGCAGTTTGTATACATGTACATGTACAGGCAGTTAGCAAGGACACTTTTCAGTGACCGCCTTTATTGTCCATGAATGGGGAGTTTGGGTTGAATGGAGAGTTTTGGACTGGACTAACATGTATGTTAGAGTCATTAGTGTCTCTCCAGAGACCTCGTAAATATCCATATTGGAAGGGATTGTTTTTAACGTCGGCCTTCTCTTCACAGACCACCTTTCAAGTTTGGTTGAGATTGATGACTGAACTTTACAGTGAAATGGAATACACACACACACGCCCAAGTGTGTATTTGCCTGCAATCGGGGACCCCTTATTGTCCCTCTTTTGTTTGTACTCTTTTTAGGAAGACTTCCCATATGTTTTGTACATGATCGTAAATTGGGGACCTTCGGGAATTGTTAATTAAATGGGTACCGGCATTATTCAGTGCTGGGAAGGTAACAGGCTAGCTGTGGAGGAGGTGTGGCGATCCCCCCCACAGCAGCACATGAGTTCCTGTGAACACAGGTTCGTCCTCATTACCTTTGGAAGGTTACCTACAAAGCACAACAATGTTTGTTACTTACTCTCCGCCTCCCAGGGTCAGACTGTTGTAGTTTCCCTTGATGAAGAAGTTGTTCTCACCGGTCCACCTGTAGACGTTGAGTTCCCAGTCAATAAAGTTGAACAGAAATGTCTCCCCTGTGCCGTAGTAATGCTCGCTGACCTTAACAGCGCAGGGGCTAAGTGCTCCAAATATCTGACGGGGGTTGGAAGATGAAAATATGGCAAGAAAATTAGATGGGAACGTAATTAGTAGGAGCTGGGGTTTTCTGTTTGCAGCTAAGATTTCAGTCTTTTTAGTTATGATTTGTTGTCTCTGAATAACTTTCGTTGTTCACACAAAGTATTTAACCCTAACCCTGCCAGACACAACACAGTCCATCAGGAAAAGAACTGGTGCACTATGATGCATTCAGCTACCGACACGAGTGCATGAATGACCAGCTCTGAAACAATGAGAGCTAGGTCCCATTGAACAATGCCACAGTTGTATCCTGCTGTGTACGGTGACCACAAACTCTGAGGCAGTGTGGCCTTGAGACTTTTCCCCTGATGGATTTTGCTACATTTGGCAGGCATGTCACTTAGTCAAGTGTTGCATGCTGCTACGTTAGGAAGGGTTCTAGCAAACATACCCTGGAAGGTTAGGGATAATCTAAGTCATCTGTGCGGTAAAAAACGAAGAAGTAAAGGCTTGCTCGGGTGGGACAGGCCTGGGCCAATTTCACGGCACTGCTAAGCACAAAAATTTGCTTAGCACAAAAAAAAGTCTGGCTTATAAAAGCAGGTTACCAGCCAAAACTCCATGTGCTGTATATTGCTCGTGAATAGTATTCAGCTGTTGTTTGCTTAGCATGAAAATCACATGGAGTTTTGGCTGGTAACCCGCTTTTATAAGCCAGACTTTTTGTTTTGCTCAGTAAATTTTTGTGTTTAGCAGCGCCGTGAAATTGGGCCAGGAACTGTTCGTCTTCTCTCATTCGTGCAGAACGCTCATCACTTGCTGGCCATGCTTACCAAAGTCGGCTGACTCAAATTTGTTACAGAAGTTGGTATCACTAGCTGACTTTTTATGAATGTTTTACTCATTAGCACTTGTACTGCGTTGATTGCATTGTGTTTGCTCAATGAAGAATCAAAGCCATACAGTGCTCAGGCGGTTTCGGGCGCTACAGTGAGTAACAGGCGGGGCGGTTTTGGGCGATACAAGAGAATACATCTACAATTTTCATAGCCCTTTATGATACCCCCCCCCCCTTTTGGCATTTCATGGTTTCATCAGGGCTTAATACAATGCTTATTGGTTAATTGGTTTTAGCCTGACAGGTGTTTTTCCACTTACCATTCCAGATGAATCTCTGATGATAATGAGAACGGGACTATCGATGCCGTTCATGCTCCGATACAGGTTGCGCAGGCTGTAGCCGTGCTCTGCCGTGCTGTAGATGTTCTTCCAGCTGTAACCCTCGGTTCTTGCCGGAAGCTGCTTGGTGAGCTGAAAAGAACATGGATACAGAAGGTAAGAACAAAACCCAAGAGGTATCTTTGTTTTTACTACAACGTAGTACCCATATTCATAGAGATTTTAGCACAGATTGTTGTGTTTTGCCAAACTACATTATACAATGTAATTAAGTAATGCTACATTTCTTGACAATGCTATATTTTTGACAATGCTATATTTTTTGACAGTGTTAAACATTTTGACAGTGCTACATTTTTTGACAACGCAACATTTTTTGACAATGCTATATTTTTTGACAGTGTTAAAATTTTGACAATGCTACTTTTTTGACAATGCTACATTTATGACAATGCTACATTTTTTGACCATGTTACATTTCGTTGACAATGTTATATTAATGTACATTATGATTACCACTGATCAGACAATGGCATCTTTCATCATTGAATCTGATGAAGCAAACGATCCTACAAGAGTGCATGCAAGTTTTTTTCTTCAGTTATCAAGACGAACAAGTGGACAAATGCTCCATTCTTGCTACATTTTGTCCCGTAGAGCTTTTAAAAAAAAAATCAAGAAGGGTAACTGTAAGTACCTTTCTGACGTGTTCTGGTTCTAAGAGAATACTGGTGGCTCCTTCTAGTTCAGGCAGCGGTAGGTTCATCTCGCATTCTAAGATGGTCATCCGCCGCCGATTGGCCTCCTCCTTCGTGATAATCTGATAAGAAAACAGACAAATATAAAAAAAATACAATTTTGCCAAAATGCTTCAATTCCGTTCACCCCCTCGATAACAAAAGTGGTAACTTAACCACCTTTTTGATGCAATGGGCAACATTTTTTTGACAATGCTATATTTTTTGACAGTGTTAACAGTTTGACAGTGCTACATTTTTTGACAATGGCTTCCTTTTTGACAGTGTTAAAATTTTGACAATTCTTGACAATTCTACATTTTTTTTTACAATGTTATATTTTTGGCTGCCCTACTGCTTTTGACAATGATTTATTTTTTGACAATGCTTTATTTTTTACATTGCTACACTTTTTGACATTGCTACATTTTTTGACAATGCTACTGTTTTTTTTTAGACAATGCTACATTTTTAGACATCACATTTGTTCACAATGCAACATTTTTTCTATATGGATTTTCAATGGGATCAATTCAGTTTCTAAGAACCTGCCTGGATCCTCATGCAAATAAAAGCAAAACAAGACAAGGGAAAAACCAAACAAAAGCCTCATCATACCAAACGCCTGTATGGTATCGTGGAGCTGCGCGGTGGACATCGCCATAGTTTCCGGAACTCGTCCTCAGAACATTGATACATCTCCTCTTCCAGACGCTTCATCCTGTCCCCCTTCATACTTTTCACAGCTATACACCCCATGACGACAATAAAACACCACTCCAGCTAATGTAACAAGACGCAAACTCCCGTGGACATTTATTGGGAAGGAGGAATACTTCGTGAGGCTTTTCTATCTTTGACGAACTCCAAGCAAAAAAGTCGGTCAGTGTTTAGAACTTCTTTGATGCAAGCAGATCTCGTTTTTCACCACTGACAGATCACTGCCTTTCTGCACATGTGAAGCTTGTAACAATTTATCAATTGCAACACATCGCCCAGCCTGACATCACTGTGCCAAGTTTTGAAGACCGAAAAGTGCGATCTCACTGAAGCAATTACGTCAACTTCACGTCAACTCTTTGACTGTGAATCAAGCACTACTGTAAGTGCCAGCGGAAAAACTTGAGTGTGCAGAGACTTGTAACGATATCTCAATTACAACACATCGCCCAGCAAGACAGCGTTACACATTTTGTAAAATACTGAAGACCAAAATGTTAATATTTCAGAAAGTGAGTCCACATCAACGCAAACTGAGAAAAAACCCAGCATGTACATGCATAAGTGCAGCTTGTAGTGATATATCAGTTACAGCACATCGCCCAGCTGTATATCACAGACTGCAGCAATTCAGAGACCGACTGGTAAAATGTTCAGCTGAAACTGAAAGCGTCCCCCTTAAATACCGGTACACAGTCCCAAAAAACTTTGTGGACTCGCAACCCTGGCCTGCGATTGGTTCAATCCGGATGACTTCCCATTCATGATGGGGCTTGTTGCTCATTGATAAATATCCCGTGTAGAGTTCCCGTGCTATTTTTAGACACTGACAGGTGTCGTACATCACAGGAATGCTTGAGCGTGCTGTATCGAAATGTACATGCAATCGTTGGGCAATTCTGAAGGCAGAGAGAAGTTTTTGGAGTACATGTTGCCAATCGATTGCTCATAGTTACAACTGTCCCATGAAATCCCGAGGATATCCAGAAATTGATATTTCTAGGAAAACCTGTTGCAGCTGATTGTGCAAGTTGTCTGTGGTTAAATCATGAACACACATCCTGTGCTAAGAGATTTTAACAGGGATGATAATAATCCAGCGTCTACAGTTTTTTTCTTGTTAAAGGTGCTGTCCGGTTTTACTAAAAAATGTCCAGGAATGTTCCCTTTGAAGCTTCCTCAGCCCTCAAAAAATCCGAAATTGTAAGAAAGAACCAAGTTCTGTCAACATTTGGAACACTGGAAGACGCAGCATTTGGTTTGTTGACATACTGTATGCATTTAGCTGAAGGAGAGTTTTAAAAAGTATCCAGAGAATCCTCAACTCGGTAAATGATTGATTAATGCTTGCACTTCTCGACGATCAGTTCAATACTTTTGATAAAGCTATGCTTTCTTTAGTCTTGTTCATGTAAACTTCAAGATTTGCACCATTTTCTGTGTGCGGTGTGAGGACAGTTCTAACACGAACCAGTGGGTACACACTCGACGTTTCAATCAGTATGCTGTGATCATCTTCAAGTGAAGGTCATGATGAGTACAAAGATTTGATTGATGCATGATGGGAAGGCTTCTCGTTCAACAACTAATATTGTCCAGTAATGACGCTCTCTCGGATGCTAAGATGCTAGGAGGCTGATGCTAAGATGCTAGGAGACTAATACTAGACTGCTGAGCGCAGTAGAGTGTACGGCAGCAGGTGAATTCCAAAACGTGCTCTGCACAACTTCCCTATGAATCTCAACTGAACCTCAAAAAACTGGTACAATGCACATACTGGGGTATATGTACCGGTATGACCCCTCAAATGAAAGTGCTCTAGATGGCGAAAGTGAAACCAGTGTCATAAAATTTGAACTTCTATGAAATCTGGGTGGGTTTTTGTGCATACCACTTTCATGTATACCTTAATAAGGTATTCACATAGTTGTAGTTTACATATGAAAATGGTGCTGGTCAGTTCTGTTTCCTGTTCCCATGAAAACTCACGACCTTGTTGCTGAATTCAAGAGTATTTAGTTAATGACACTAACAGAAACTGAAACTTATTATCTATGAAACAGACGAAGGGGAAAAGAGGGCATAAAACCCAAATACACAAATAACTACTTTCAAATTATTTGCAGGAATATTTTTATTAGGAAACAGTTATCTGATTCAAAGGTGTGGTACTGATATACTTTTTTATTACTTTCCATAAATGTTACACGTGAGACAGTTTATCCATTCCTATTGGTCGCGAGCCAATCACGCTGGTAAAACACCGCTGCGTTCTGCGTCACATTGCATAGTATGCGCCACGTGCGCATGCCAATTTCCATGTACATGTAAGGAAATTTTTAGCGCTAAGCATGCGAGGCACATACCACAGTCACGGCCAGAGGGGTGTTTCACAAAACACGAGGTAAAATTGTTAAACAAAAATTGCTGGAAATTTGCGCATTGTTTTGCTAGTTTTGACCAAAAGGTATTTATGAATAGGAATAAATATGTGCTTGGCCGGTATGAAACATGTATTTAAAACCAGCTAGGGGCCTGGTCTTCCTTCTTCTTCACTTGTACTTGTACCTGTTTAAAACTGGCCAAGCACATATTTACTCCCCTACTTGTACGCACCACAACTGTTCAGGAGTTCTGGAAATACTTAACTCAAACTACCCCCCAAAATCCTCTTAATCTACAACTACAGCACAAAATTGTGTTGTGTTATTATAACAGGAATTCAGGAAAATTGGGTTACAACGCACAAATGGAAACAGACTCGGTGTATTATAATAATTTAAAAGTTGAACAATGAAGTTGCCTGGAGCGGGGTTTGAACCTGTGACCTCCGGATTGCCGTTCCGGTGCTCTACCAACTGAGCTATCCAGCCCTATGTTGGCGGTTCCCCATTTTGTCAATGTCTTTGTTCAAGGGCGCTAGTCAGAAGCCATAAACCGATATATGCCATGTAGCCAGAGATCACGCCCTAAGTCACGATGCTAGGAACAATGGCAATGCTACAAACCTGAAAATAGCAAATGGAAATCACTCAAACAGGAAACTTAAAATAAAAAAAATGTCTTTCTGCTGATTCAAGGAACAGCAGTACAATAAACCTGAAGCAGAATAGCAGATTATTAAAAAACCTAACCTGTCGAAAATTCAGCGTAGAAAATTGAAAAATGCATTTTCATTTTTCTTAACGCAAAGGAAAGGTTTCCATTCAAAGCGTAATGGTTCGGTCCTAACCATCCCGAGGGAATAATGGTGAATTCGTCTTGTCTCTAAAATGACAGCATATGTGTGCAATGAAGTTTTCTTTTCTTAGTCCTGTTGTTGTTGTTGTTTCTTTTGTTGTCTTCGTCCTCAAAGAATATTCTTTGAACGGATTGAGCAATTTCAGTAAGTTTTATCATCTAAAAGTAGCCCTTGAAATTGGCTTTCCAGTCATTATTTTGTTTGGAGCTACATATTTTGTAAAATATGAAATTTATTTTTTGGGGTTTGGGTTCCGCTGTTTTTTACTCGCCCTGTATCTATCTACCGGTATCTAATGCTTTCACAGGATGCATGATACATGTATTTCAAGTCTGCAAATGGTGTCCATGATCTTTAACACCCAGATCTTAAGGCTCACCTCCCAGTCCTTGCCGATAGGCTCCTCGAAGAAGTCCTCGATGACCTCAAGACTCGACTCTAGCTCGTCATCCACAGCGACGAAACCCACATCATCTGGGCTACCCTCCTTCCCGTAGACATCCGGGGACCACTGCAGGAAGAAGGCATACAGGTTGTCGGCCCTGGGATAGAGGATGAGAGAAACAACTTATAAGGCAGAGCTTCGGGGTTTTCGAAAAAAGCAACTGGACTAAAGGTAAAAAAGAGCTGTATTTGCTTTTGTTCAAAGTGAAATTTGGACCAAAAAAGTATTCAAGTGCTGGAGTTACTGCAATAGGCCATTATCATGTTGTGGCCGTCTTGGTTTTTTTCCCATTCAGATCAACGTAACTAAAGTGAGGCTGGAAGGAAAAATAGTCTGGTTCCTTTTTGCACAAAAAATATTATCATTCAGTTCTGTTATTGGATAAAGGGAACATGACTAAAATGGTGGCAGCATGATAAAGGTCTATAGTACCGGTAAATTCTGACTGCAGTGTACCTGAAAAATATACAAATGTAGGAGCGACAAACAGACAGACAGTTGTACATCTATAAATATTAACAACCGCTGGACATGGATCTTAAAAAGACAGGGCATTAAAAAAGCCAGCGCTCTAAGTTAGTAGAACTTTTTGTTTTAAAGGAATCAAGTTGTCTCATCAAAAACCATTAATTAAAAATTGAGGCGGGTAAGACGAATGTATTCTCTCTGAGTCGAAATGCGAATGTGAATGTATTTTTTCTGAAAAGCACATCTCAGTTAGACTCACTTTTCCCTGGGAATCGCAAACCAATACTCTGGCAGCTTGTGGTTGCGTTTGGCGCCGGCTCCCTTGCCTTCGCAGCTACCTCCTGGGAAAGTCTTGCTCATGGGTCGGCCGACTCGCAGACAGAGGTACAAGGGTGGGTCTTCGTAGCGCTGGGCTGGCTTAGGGAGGTACTCTGGAAGAAGAAAACAAGAAGGCGCAGCTGTTATTATTTATTTATGGACATGAAACCAAGGATTTCTCAAAAGCGCCCTGCAGCTCGCAAACCTGAAGAAACCTGCAGAGAGAAGACAATGAGAAAAAAATGTACAGTTTTATAGGTGGGAGGAAACCCACGGAATCAGGTAGGGACTGAAAACTATATCCTAATGTGGACCAGGCCAGGAATCAAGCCTGGGCCATAGAGGCAGAGGGTGAGAAAAGAACCACTGCGCCGACCTGAGCAGTCCTTAAATCTTTACACACGGCGAGGATGGATCTTGAAAACGCTGGGCTGGCTTGGGGAGGTACTGGTACGCTGGAAGGAAACGTTTATCTCACTAGCCTTTAAAACTTTCAATGAAAAACGACCTCATATAAGGTTACTCCCCAGACTGACCATTACGTCAGTCTACCTTTACTCAGAAATTATGTCATGTAAGCTATGTTTTCCTCACATGACACCATATCCTATGTTCACCCAAAGTTGCCTCTCAAATGGTATAAAAGGTCCCCAGTTTCCCCACTTTGGTTGAGTTCTCCTTCTTCTCCCTGGAGACCAGAGGGATAGCCATGAGCTGCTTTTTCCACCCTATACTCAGTAGTCCAGTCTAGTCTGCCTTCTCTTCTCCGGTACTCAGACATACCAAACAGCTGTCTCAGCCGTATTTCCGAGGTTATAAAATACATGTATACCTTCCTATATAATTTCCTATATAATTTATATACTTTTCTATTAATGTCTCATCCTGCCAGAATGCCGGAGCTGTAATAAATACAGGTTTAAATCAGCTTCTGAAGGTGTTCAGACCACTGCAGGGGTGGTTCACATTCATTTGTTAATTGGATGTCGACTTGTTATTTCGGACTCCAGGATTCCGTGTTTGACTTGTCTCGCTTTCAGCTCGTAACAGCTTGGATTAATTACATTCCTGATATACCAGTATCTCCGTCATTGTAAAGTCTGGGAAAAAAATTAATTAATATCAAGGGAAACCTATCAATAGGGTTATTTGGACAACATTTCCACTCCTACACGTATGTACATACGGGCAATTCTTTGGTAACGGAATTACGGAATTTTGTCACTTTGTCAAGGATTATTCTTTCCCAAGAAAATATGTTCTATGCTAGGCAACTAATCTAAACATGGAAAGGGAGCCAAGACCCAGTAGAATTGATTGACCGCTAAAAAAAAAAAAATCCCACAAGATTACCCTTTTAGGGGCGGAGCTTAATATCGGTAACGGAATTACGGACGGAGGACAAGCATATTTGAGTTCTCGCATAAATTAATAAAACTCTCTGAAGTTTTGAAATTTTAAAATTGGACACTACCTGTTATTTGTAGAGTTCAGGGGTGTTGTTAACTACAATGCAGAACAAAGTTGAAAAAATAATCACTCTTTTCATAATTTGCATTTTAATCACGGTAACGGAATTACGCCTGGGCGGTAACGGAATTACGCCATAGGTTTACATGTAATAGGTAAATGCAATACATTAACATTGAATTCAACATTAACTCATCACAATACAAATTTTAGAAGTATATAAAATGCCACTAGGGGAAAGCTCAGTGAGAATAAGCAGATCAAAATGTAAATGTAGGCCTAAACATGTCTGGGCTTCATTTTTTAGGTCAAAGGTCAAGGTCAAAAGAAAGCAGTCTGGTGATGGCTGCATTGCCTGTTAGCAACGTTTTTAAAATATTTTTTAACGAAAATCAAATTTTACTATGAACAATTGTATCGTATTTCACTAGTTTATCGTGGAAAATACAATAAAACTATACTGGTTGGCATCTCTGAGCAAGGGAAGATGTTAAGTTATGCCAAGTAGAAGTACAAGTACAGTCTGGTACTCAACTTTCATATACTTGTTGTGGAATATATTTTCTCTGGGTACCAGACAACCGCTTTGGCAACATATTTAAAGGGAATGTACCGGTACATCATTGGCTTTTGCTGTAATTTTCAGAAATGACCTATTTGAAGGGTTAGTATAATAGATCAAATATTGTTACACTGACATGTTTGAAGTTTTGCGTTCGAAAATGCTGAAAAACCAAGAAAAACAAAACTGTTCTAGTAGTCTGGTTCCTTGACTCCACTAAAGGTAAAATGGATCAATTTATAGATGCTGGAAAAGTGGAAGGTCAGGGAACCAGACTAGCTGGCCTGCACCCGTTCATGAACATGTAACAAATAGGTGTAGCAAACAAAATTTGGACTGGAAACATGGGAAAGAGTGTAAAGTTGAAGCAGTAGTTGAAAAATAGTTAGGATTTTCCAACGGTGGTCGGCCGACCACCGTTGGAAATGTATACAAAAATATCATTTTTTTGAAAATTTCTTCACACCAGGTGCCATAATTTTACAGGATGCTTTAGACTGTCATTTACCAACATCCTACAGTGTATGGTGTAGTAAGGTATTTCGTTAAAACTTGGTAGTTTTATTTTCTGATGTTTGCAAATGTTGTATATTCCCCTTAAGCATCCAAACAACTATTAGCATTTTTTAAATAGTAAAAAAAGAAAAAGTAAAAGTAAAAAATATCAATGGAACACCTGATTATTTTTAATTGTATAATAGCAAATTAAAGAGGGAAATGATTTAACAAGTAATTTAGTATTTAAAGTTATTGTCCAAGGTTTACATGCAAATCTCCTATTTAATATGTCATGTACATAATATGGGGGAAGTGTGCATACTTTGTGCATGCGTAATTCCGTTACCGTAATTCCGTTACCGTTTCGTAATTCCGTTACCACTTGGAAAAATGCCAAGAAATTACTATTTTAAAGTTTTTATTTTTCGTTTATGTTTATAGTAGGGTCTTTTCTCAACATACATGATTTGTAGAAAAAAAACAAGAACATTTGTGAAATAAGTAACTTTTGCCATTTTTTCGGTAACGGAATAACGTGCTAATTTTGACATTTTTAAATGAAGGCCTACACTATATATATATATATATTTATATTTTTAGATTTTTTTTTAATGACCCTGAGTAATGTTAGTAACTTGTAACATCATAAAATAAATCAAATCTTTTCCCTATAATTCAGAAAGTAATACATACACAAAATTTTATTTTTTTACCAAATCTGAACGTTTTTAATCATAAATTGCAAAAATCACTGTTTTTACCAGAAATATGTATTTTTTTTTAATTCCGTTTTTTGAACTGAATTCCCCATTTAATTGAGGTCTGGAAAAAGTACGAAAAAGGTTTAATATGTCAATATTTATTTTTGACATTTTTTGCTCTCCCATGGAGAATTGCCCATACGGTACAACGACGTGTACATGTACATAATGTACAGCGTCATGGTGTTTATTCCAAAAATGAAAACGAACTACATGTACGTGTACATGTACATTAGGTCCAACTACATGTATTCAGTAAGAGGTTTTTGTAAGTTTAACTTTTTTTTAGGTTAGTAAATAATTTGCAAGAATTCTACCCCATATGTGACCTGTTCTATCAAAATCAGACTTTTCTGGGCATAAGGTCGAAAATGATATTTTTACATATTGTTAACATATGTTCTTTTTCCTTTTAATAGGTGGTTTAATTTTTGAAACCTGTCATTCCTGGGCAGAGTTATGCTATTTTGAAGTTCATTGTGTCGAAAAGTAGAAAACGGAGAAAATGGCCACGAACGTCACAAAACAGTTATTTCTTTAACTGATATACCTTATCAAAATCATCAAAAGTAATGTATGTAGAGTTCAAATTAGGGTTTCAAACTTTTATAATATATTTTAGACATGTTCAGGATTACAAATGTGCAAAAATTTGAAAATCGATAAAAAACACCCCCACAGCTTTTTTTTTTGGCCCTATCTCAATTTCAACCTCTGCCCAGAAGCGTCTGCTTTTGACAGAACAGGTCACATATTGCGCGTTCCTTTAATTGAAATCGACATTCCTTTTCTGCAAGTAGAATAGCCTACCGGTAGATATAAAAATGACAAAAGTACCACCCCCCCCCATAAAAAAACGCTGTGGGCACTGAACTTCAGAATTACCAGGTACATGTACATGTACAGTACGTCAAGCAAACAAGTTTCAGTTTCCACTCTTTTCAAACTAAAATCAGACTTCCGGAAGGGACAAAAGTACTTGAGAACAATGCACACAAGCTTCCTTTGTAGTTTGTACGAACAAATAAAGTTGTTTAAATATAATGTACATTGTCCGACTCGTTTGCAAAATGAACAACCTACAACTGCAAAATGATACATAAATCACCTTGTGCAGATACAGGGCGAGTCAAGAAAAGCGGAACCCAAACCCTCAAAAATATATTTCATATTTAAAAATATATGAAGCACCAAACATAATAATGACTGGAAAGCCAATTTCATAAACTACTTTTAGATGAAAAAAATACTGAAATTGCTCAATCCCTTCAAAGAATATCACCATTTAAATGCATTGACCCTATAAAAACTTGTTTTGTCCCAAAAAAAAACAAACATTGTGTATTCTGACTGTTTGGAACAACAAAGAAAATGACACAGAATACTTGTTTCAACAATAGTAGTACACAATATCTTTATTAACAACCCTGGTTTAGGCAAACAATACAATTTATAAAATCCACATTTTTTTTTTAAAGATGGCCTTGAAAAGGACTTTCTTGAATATTTTTAACTTTTAAACTGAGGTTTTATCACTGGCGATGTTTGAAGACAATTGTGACGATGATTCTTGAAATCGCATTTTTGGACGAAAGAGGTTTTAGGGTCATTGTGTTTAATGGTGAAGCTCTTTGAACGGATTGAGCAATTTCAGTATTTTTTTTCATCTAAAAGAAGCTAATGAAATTGGCTTTCCAGTCATTAATTTTGGTGCTAAACATTTTTTTAAATATGAAATATAATTTTGGGGGTTTGGGTTCCGCTTTTTTGACCCGCCCTGAATTACAGGGTGTCCCCAAAAAAGTTGTACAAGCAGATATCC